GAGTGATTCTGTGAGGTGTCCTCTCCCTCCTGGCTTAACTAGTTGATTTCTCCTCCACACCAGCAGGTCCAGCGCCTCCATTAGACACAGGTCCATGGGGTGGCCTGATCCTGAACCAGAACCTTCCAGAATAAACCTTTTATTCCCCCAAGAAGCTCCTCTTGGGTATGGTCACTAAGGTGATAAAAAGTGGTCTGAAAAAAAATTTTTTAATTAAAAAAAAAAAGTGGTCTCATACAACCATTGTCTTTCAGGATAAACTAATTAAAAAAAAAGTAACATCTCATGGAGCAAAGCTGAATCTCAGAACATTAGGGAGACCCAAAGGCAAATTCAAACACAGCCAAAAAAATTACCCTAGGAATAAGCTTCATCCAGGTCTTTCACATGGAATCAGGGACTCAAGCACTTGGGCCATCCTCTGCTGCTTTCCCAGGCACACCAGCAGAGAGCCAGATCAGAAGTGGAGCAGCCGGGACTCGAACTCAAAACCCGCTCCAGAGAGAACATTTTTCTCTCATGATTTCTTCACAGGAAAACGTTATCATTTTACATTTATTTACTTATGGGAGACACAGACAACAGAAAGACGGCTCCCACCCACTGGTTCACTCCCCAAAAGCCTGCCAGGCCTGGAGCCAGGAACTGGGAACACAACCTCGGAGCCATCACCTGCTGCCCCTCCCACGGTCTGCATCAACAGGAAGGTGAGAGCGGGATCTGCAGCGGCACCTGAATCCAGGCACAGAGTCGCGGGCGTTGTGAGCGCAAGGCTAAACACCTGCCTCTCTATTTTAGACAAAGTAGTGCTGACATTTATTAACCACCCATGGCTTTGAGATGTCTTTCTCAGAAGGCTTTCTCTCTTCAACGAGGGTTTTGGCTTTTCTCTTAGAATTTTCCCGTGGAAAAATGCCTTTACAGTTTATGCCCAGCCATCGTGTCACAATGTGATTCTCTCTGAAATCTTACCGCCTCCGTGCCTGGCCACACTGCAGTTCCTGGAACGCCGGAGTCCCCACCTGGATGACTCTGACAATGGTGACCACGGCACTGGGACTCTCATCAAGCCCCCCCCCCCCAAACCCCAGTGTCCCTGCAGAATTGCCTTAGATGGTTGTTTCTTCCGTTAGTTATTTGAAGAAACTGCATAGGGGCTACTACATGTGACACACAGGCATACTGAGCGAGGTGGGCACTGTGGCCCGCGTCCCCTATCAGAGAGCCAATTTGAATCCCAGCACCTCTGCGTCTGACCCAGCTTCCTGCCAGTGCATCCTGAAAGACAGCAGAGGATGATGGTTCAAGTGCTCGAGCCCCTGCCACCCACAAGGGGGACCTGGATGGAGTTCCTGGCTCCTGGCTTTGGTCTGGCCTTGCCCTGGCTGTTACAAGCATTTGGGGAGTACATCAGTGGATGGAATATTTTTTCTCTCTCTTTCTCTGTTTCCCTGTCACTCTGCCTTTCAGGTAGATGAAAATGATTTTTTTTTAAAGAAAACATGCGTTTTTAAACCCAAGAATCACAGGCAGTATTATGGGATGCTTGGGCCCAGAAGCCCCCAGGAACTGAAACCATTCTAAGGAATGGCACATTCCAGGCACCGACTTCATCGTTGCTGCTAAATCAGACATCCCCACAGAAGGGCAGGAAATGCGTACAAGGTTTAGATAGCTCTTCTTCGCATTCCATTTGTGCAGATCAACTGTGGCTGAACTCACAGTTCAACGCCTCCTTGACATGATTCTGCTGTGTCAATTATTTAATGTGATTCTTTCCGCAGACAGTTTCAACAAAGGCTTCCTCTGAAACACCCACGTTAGAGGCTTGACTGACACCTGTCAGCACCAGGTATAAACACACATCTTCTTGTTAATTATACTCTACGAGGACTGTGATGTCAAAAAATGTGTTTTAAAAATTAATTTTTGTACGTAACTTATTTGAGAGTGAGAGTGAGCACACGCCAATCTTCTGGTTTAGTACCCAAATACCAGCAACAGCTCGGGGCAGGGTCAGGCCAAAACCAGGAGCCGGGAACTCAGTCCAAGTCTTCCCGGTGGGTACTGGGCCCTGATACTTGGCCCTGTGTTAGCAGGAAGTTGGAATCAGGAGCAGACCCAGGACATGACCCTGGCACTCTGAAGTGGAATGCAGGGGTCTGGCAAACACCTGCCCACCCCAACTGTGGGGAACAATCCGGACTAGACTGAGTTACTGGAATTAAGACTTATTCTATGCATCTGCTCTCCCACAATATGGCGCTGGGAGAGAAGAAAACAGCTTCTACACAGGTGCCTCCAGTTCAACCAATAAACTGTAGGACTCGCTCCTGATTGGAGGAGAGCAGCGTACTCGGCGTGTGGGCAGCCGAGTTGGGATTGGCGGAGGAGGACTATAAAGGAGGAGAGAGACGGCATGCACCAGGAACATCTAAGAGGAACATCTGAAGGAACACCTGTGCAGCCCCCGAGAGAGCCGGCCGGCGGTGTGCCGCTCCCCTGCGGAAGTGGGGAATGTGGCCAGGGGGAACTGCCCTTCCACGGAGGTGGAAGGGATAGTAGCCAACCCGGGAAGAACCAGCAGCAAACCCGGGGAGGGCCGAGCAGACGAAAGAACAGCGCAGGGTCCTGTGTCATTCCTCCACGAAGAGGGGGAGCGACACCCAACTCTGGGTTTTAATAGAGAATTAAAAAAATAGGCAGAATGAAGCCAGGTGGAACTCAAAAAAGGTATTGTCAGTTGGCATAACTGTGGTACCAACAATTATAAAAATATGGACTGTTTCGTATTCATTGTGATTTGTTTGCTTCCTGTATCTTAACAACAAGTAGAGGTAGGAACTTTGTCTTTCATATTTTACGATTGGGAACAAAGACACACTCATTTATTTACATCTTGTCTGAGCTGCTTTCCTGAGATGACACGGTGACATGTATGTGACAGAGGCCCCAAGTCCCCAAATACAGAAATATTTACTCTCCAAACTTTTCCCAGCCTTGTTGTACAACCGATATCCCTCACAACCTGCCATCACTTGGAATGTCACTCACTCCATTTATCAAGCGTCTGATATCTGTTTTTTTTTTTTTTTAAGATGTATCTTATTTATTTGAAAGGCAGAGTTACAGAGAGGGAGAGGCACAGAGGCATCTTCCATCTGCTGGTTCACTCCCCAAATGGCCCCAAAAGCCTGGGCTGGGCCAGGTAGAAGCCAGGAGCCAGGAGCTTCACCCAGGTCTCCCATTAGGTGCAGCGGCCCAAGCATGTGGGCCATCCTCCACTGCCTTCCCAGGCACATCAGCACGGGGCTGGATCGGAAGTGGAGCGGCTGGGACTTGAACTGGCATCCACAGTGGATGGTTAAACCACTGCCTGCAACACAAGATGAAGGCATCCGACTGTTCCTTCTAAGACAAGGGAGACAAACTGTCCAGGCGGAGGGCTGTGGGCCCAGAGCCAGGGGCTAAACAACAGGCACTCGGAATCACCACGGCCCACGGCCACCAGCTGGACACCAGCTGCAACCCGGCACGGCGCCACTGCCTCCACGTGAGCCGCGCGGAGGGCAGCGGGGGTGGGGGAGTGACATCCAGGTGGCTGCGGTCTATTTACTCCAAACTACCAGCGCTAAGCTGAAACACAGAGCTCAGAGGCCCGGTGCTGTGGCCTAGTGGGCGAAGCCGCCACCTGCAGTGCCAGCATCCCCTATGGGTGCCGGTTCTAGTCCCAGCTGCTCCACTTCCGATCCAGCTCTCTGCTGTGGTCTGGGAAAGCAGTAGAAGATGGTCAAGTCCTTGGGCCCCTGCACTGGCGTGGGAGACCCAGAAGAAGCTCCTGGCTCTGGTCTGGCCCAGCCACAGCGGCTGTGGGCATTTGGGGAGTGAACTGGCGGATGGAAGACCTCTGTCTCTCCCTCTAATTCTGCCTCTCAAATAAATAAGGTTAAATCTTACAAGCTTGGCGGAGCAATTCCACTTCCGGGTATCCCCGTGCACCTGCGGGGAATCCTAACAGATGTCCTCACCCGCACCTGTACAGGGACCAGACGTGACCCCAGCCCCCGAAATCCGTCCATTCACGGAAAGCCAACACGGGACGCCACCAGATCAGTCACTATTCCGCCAGAAATGAAGGAACCCAGACACACACACGCGTCCTTAGGACGAGCCCACCTACAACGAAATGCCCCAGAAATGACAACCCCAGGGAGCACAGTCGCCAAGGGCTGGGGCGGGCAGTGGGACCCACGGCCGAACATTCCGGAAGGCTGCTGTAGAGCACAAGTCTATGAACTTAACAAGCCTCAACGCGCGACTTCCTTCTAAAGGGTGGGCGTCACGGGCTAGCGCCATAAAGCGGTTATTGGACAACAAAGCAGCTTTCCCTTTGAGGGGCGGAGACTACAGCCCTGCGAGTCCGTGCTTCCCTCGCACCCTACAGCAGCATGGCGACAGAGCCTTTTCCTTCCCCGAGGCTCGGTTTGTTCTCCGCCAACAAACGCATCCCCTCAGCACACCGAGCGCGCCAGACAATGCCCACGCACGGCGCCGCTCAGCAACGTAAGGGGCGGAGCCTGGACGCAGTTACCAGGCAACGAGGAAGCCCCGCCCCCCGCCTAGCCAATCAACACAAACAGCCTTACGTACGCCAGGAGGCGCATGACCTCACGCGCACGGGGCCGCCCACCAGAGAGCCCCCGCCTCCGCCCTCGCCCAACCAATCAGAAAGGAGAGGGAGGCGCGCATGCTCCGTGTGCGTGCGCCCGCGGCCCGCGCGCAGGGCTTGCCGCCCCACCCCCACTCCTCAGGTCCTGCCCGCGGGAACGGGGGTTCGGGGCCCGCCTGGGGGCGCCAGGGCTGCCGAGCTCCACCTCCCGCGGCGCGCCCGGACCCGCCAGCGGCCACCCCTTCCCAGGGCCGCCACCCTCCCCTCCCCTGACGGAGAAACTTCCTAGACGAGCAGTCGCTCTTCATGGCGGCGAGGGCGGGGTACGCACCTGAGGGCGCCGGCCAGCGGGGCTGCGGCCGCGCCGGCCGCGGGGGTCCGAGGCCTGGGCCACCGGGGACGGCCGAGGGGCCGAGCACGGCGCCCGGGACGAGCGCGAGGCGGGGCGCGGCGTGGTGGGCGGCGGCCGCGGCCCCTGCTCGCCACTCGCCCTCCTTTTTCTTTCTTCGCCCTTTTTTTTTTTTCCTTCTTTTTTTTATTTTTTTGTTTGCTTCCTGGAAGGCAGCCTTGACTCGTGTGTCCGCAGCGCCCCAAGTGGGAGCTGCTGTTTCCGGTGCTTTTGAATCCAACGTGGCTGCCCCGGGGCCGCAGCCGCCGCCGCGGTGGCCGGGCGTGGGCAGTGGCCTCCTGCCCTGGCCGGTGCCCGCTGTGGCTGCTGCAGGGTTGCAATCGGTAGCCTTCAAGCCACGGTTTGAGTGGCCCAGGAATCCACCTTAAATCTTGGGAGCGTTTCTTTGGTGCGTCGTGAGTGACCCTTGGGTGGGCTGGGTGGCCCGGCCAAGCAGCCATGAGCTGTCCATCAGGCCGTTCCGGGCCAGCCTTACGGCATCTGATCAAACGACTCTGACGGTCCTTTTTTATTTATTTATTTATTTTTAATATGGTTGATTTGAAAGGCAGAGAGATAATCTTCCATCCACTGGTCACTCCCCAAATGGCCACATCAGCCAGGGCTGGGCCACACAGAAGCCAGGAGCTTCTTCCGGGGTCTCCTCTTGGGTGTCAGGGGACACAAACACTTGGGCCATCTTTTGCTGCCTTCCCAGGCCGTTAGCAGGGAGCTGGATGGGAAGTGGAGCAGCCGGGACATGAACCACGCCCATAGAGGATGCCCACGTCACAGGTGTCAACCCATCCGTGTCACAACACTGGCCCCATGCCTGCCTTCTATCAGTAGCTAGCAAGGGATGCTTCCTAGCAAATACTATCTTAAAAAATCTAGGGCAGGCTTTGATGCGACTTGACACTGCTCTTGGAACATCTGCCTGCCGCAGGGGAGTGTGGGATCGAGACCCAGGTGAGCTTAGGAGCCAGCTGCCTGATAATGTGCCCGGGAGGCAGCAGGGGATGGCCAAAGTCCTTGGGCCCTGCCACCCATGGGGAGACCTGGATGGAGCTCCTGGCTCAGGCCTGGCCCAGCCCTGGCTGTTGGGTGCACTTGGGGAGGGAAACGGTGGCTGGAGGGAAGACTTCTGTGTCTGGGGCTGCCACCCGTGTCGCCCGTGTCCCATCTGAGCACCAGTCCCTGTCCTGGCTGTCCCACGTTGGATCCAGCTCCCTGTCAGTGCACCTGGGAAAACAGCTGAAGATAGCCCAAGTGCTTGGTCTCCACTGGGAGGGGAGCCCACCGTGGATGAGGCTCCTGGCTTCGCCTGTGGCTTTGGTGGCCATTTGAGGAGTGAGCCAGCAGATGGAGGATCTCTGTGCTTCAAATAAGCAATACGTATTTTTAAAGGGATATGTAAACATTTTTCCTTACGGTGCAGTCTATTTTTGATCAGAATAGTTGTATAAAGTTGGAGCAAATCAGATTAGCAAGTACTGACCGTTGGTCCCAGAGGAAATACAGCTTTGAGTTCTGGTGGAGCCTCTGACCACCCCTTGTTTGGTGAACCCAAAGTAATTTTATGTGGGTTCCTATTTAAAGAGGTGTTACTTAAAATGCACCAGTGGTGGGCGGGGCACTGTAATTCCTGCCAAATCAGAGCCCTGTTTTCTCCCTGGGGCCCGTCGCAGCATTGCTGCACACTTGGGGCCACAGGACAGCACCCCAGGTCCACGCATAAGGGCCGTGTTGTGCAGAGAAGTCACCAGACGAGGCACAAATTGGCAAAGGTAGCGCTGAGTGCAGCGGGAAGCCGACTCCTGCTGTGTGACACAGGGAGGTAGCGGTGGGCGTTTGGTGCAGGGGTTAAGCCGCTGCTGCACATTTCTTCCACTCTCTGCAGATCCGAACCCCTGGGAGAGCTCCGCCCCTGCCGGGTTTGGGTTTGGGTTTACCAATCACCGAGTAGGCCAATGCACTGAGGTCAAACTCGTGGGTGGACTACATTTTGTTGCCAAAATCGTAATACGCAAGAAAATGGATGCAAATGCAGATAGATCATCACCCGCAGTGAAATAAACCAGTACCCAAGCACAGATATCCCATGTTTTCCCTGATCTATGCGAATATATAAAGAAAGGGACAGGAGTGAAAGTGGCCTCTTGAGATGGATTACTCAATATAGCCCCAAGCAACAGTGGTCTTTCCACTTGTTGAAGTCTATTTCCTGGAGGGTTCAGCTTGTGATTAGAAAGTAAGTGGAAAGAATATCATTGTAAATGTTTAAAAAAGGAAGAAGGAGGGAGAGAGGTGGGTAGAGTACAAAGTATCATTAGGTTCTTAAAACTGTATATGGGGGGTGGGGGGCGGCATTGTGGCATAGCAGGGAAAGCCGCCGCCTGCAGTGCCGGCATCCTATATGGGTGCTGGTTCAAGTCCTGGCTGCCCCACTTCCAATTCAGCTCCCTGCTAATGGCCTGGAAAAGCTGCAGAAGATGGCCCAGCTCCTTGGGCCCCTGAACCCGTGTGGGAGACCTGGAGGAAGCCCCTGGCTCCTGGCTTCAGATCTGCTTAGCTCTAGCCATTGTGGCCACTTAGGGAGTGAACCACACAGGAGTGGAAGATTATCTGTATCTCTCTTTCTGTAATTCTGCCTCTCGAATAAATAAATAATTTTTTTAAGTTTGTGAACACTAGGGCCAGTTTTGTGGCACAGGGGGTTAAACCACTGCTTGCAGTGCTGGCATCCCATATGGTCGCCAGTTCGAGTCCCAGCTGCCCCACTTCCGATCCAGCTCCCTGCAAATGGCCTGGGAATGCAGTGGGGCATGGCCCAAGGGCATACCTACACCCACCTGGGAGACCCAGCTGAAGCTCCTAGCTCTTGACTTGGGCCTGGCCTGCAGCCATTTGGGGAGTGAACCAGCAGATGGAAGACCTCTCTCTCTCTCTTTGTCTCTTCTCTCTCTATAATTCTTCCTTTCAAATAAATAAAATAGATCTTTAAAAAAAAAGTTTGTGGGGACAGCGCAGTGGGTTAAAGCCCCAGCCTGCCCTACCAGCATCCCATATGGGCGCCAGTTCGAGACCCGGCTGCTCCACTTTCAATCCAGCTCTCTGCTATAGCCTGAGAAAGCAGTGGAAGATGGCCCAGGTCCTTGGCCCCTGCACCCACGTGGGAGACCCAGAAGAAGCTCCTGGCTCCAGGCTTTGGTTTGGCTTAGCTCTGGCCGTTGTGGCCATTTGGGGAGTAAACCAGTAGATGGAAGACTTTCTCTCTCCCTCTCTTTCTCTCTCTCGCTCTGTCTCTACCTCTCTCTGGAACTCTGTCATTCAAATAAACAATAAAAGTGTGTACTCATGAAAAAAATATATAAATTATTTATACATAATACTATAATAATGTATATTTTATAAAATACATAGGGAATTTTTTTAAAATAATAAAATGAAGAGTAAATAATTTTACTGCAATTAAAAAATTTATTTAAGAGGCACAGAAACAGAGAGTGCCCATCTGTTGGCCCACTCCCCAAATACTGCAACAGCCAGGGCTGGACCAGGCCGAAGCCATGGCAACACCATCCAGGTCTCCAAGGTGGGCAGGAGTAACCCAAGTGCTTGAGCCGCCACTGCTGCCTCCCAGGCTGTGCAGGAAGCTGGGGCCAGGACTGGGGCCGGGACTGAGCCCAGGCACCCTGATGTGGGTGCAGGTGTCTCACTGTGGTGCTAAATGCCTGCTCCAGCTCATGAGTAATGCATTTCCAAGCAAAAATCTGGTGGGAATTTTATGCAGTTTGACAAGATGACTTTTAAAAACTTACATGGAGATCAATGTTATGAGTAGCAAAGGCAATTTTATGATAGAATAGAGAACAAAGGGAAACTTGATTGAATAAAAATTAGAGCATATTATAAACTGTGCAGTTGAAATCTGTCATATTAATACAAAACTACAGCAGTAGTGGCTGGCACTGTGTCGTAGAAGGTTAAGCCTCCACCTGCAGTACCAGCATCCCATATGGGCGCCGGTTTGTGTCCTGGCTGCTCCTCTTCTGATCCAGCTCCCTGCTAATGAGCCTGGGAAAGCAGCAGAAGATGGCTCAAGTGTTTGGGTCCCTGCTACTCACATGGGGGACGTGGATGAAGCTCCTGGCTCCTGGCTTTGGCCTGGCCATCGCAGCCATCTGGGGAGTGAACCAGCAGATGGAAGACCTCTCTGTCTCTCCCTCTCTCTGTAACTCTTTCAATTAAATAAATAAATCTTTAAAATAGAATAAAATGCGACAGTGTAAAAAGAACAACGTAGAACCAAACTGTTATAAAAATATCTCCAAGATAATTTTGAGTGAAAAGTTGTAGAAGGAGGTATATGTAATAGGTTTTCTTTTAAAGACACATAAAACAAAAACATTCCCCCCCCTTTTTAAGATTTATTTATTTATTTGAAGATCAGAGTTACACAGAGAGAGGAGAGGCAGAGAGAGAGAGAGGTCTTCCATCCGCTGGTTCACTCCCCAGTTGGCCTCCACGGCCAGAGCTGAGCCAATCTGAAGCCAGGAGCCAGAAGTTTCTTCTGGGTCTCCCATGTGAGTGCAGGGGCCCAAGGACTTGGGCCATCTTTCACCACTTTCCCAGGCTATAGGAGAGAGCTGGATAGGAAGTAGAGCAGCCAGGACCCGAACCGGCACCCATATGAGATGCCAGTGCTGCAGGCAGCTGCTTTACCTGCTACACCACAGTGCCAGCTCCTTTTCTTTTTTTAAATTGGGGCAGAATTTATTTGAAAGGCAGAGGGAGGGAAAGAGAGATTGATCTTCCATCTGCTGGTTCACCCCCCCAGATGCCTGCAGCAGCCAGGGCTGGGCCAGGCCAAAGCCAGGAGCCCAGAAAAACCAAGTGTCCCTCGCGGGAGGCAGAAATCCATATACTTGAGCCATCACTGCTGCCTCCCAGGTGGGAATTAGCAGGAAGCTGGCATCAGGAGTGGAGCCGGGACTGGAACCAGGCTCTCCCAGATGGGATGTGGGCACTCGAAGCAGCAACCGAAACTCTGTGCCAAACGCTCACACCAAAACACTTTTTCTTTGGCAAGATACATGAGTATACTCAGCAGTTCAAGGAGCCTTTAGCCTTACCCCTGTGCTTAATTATTGATTTAATTTTTTAAACAGGGATTGAACAATGTATTCATTCTATAATTAAAAATTAATAATCAATTGAAAATAGGTAAGGCTAATTAAGTTCACTCCCAGTCCAGAGTATTTTAGCTACCTCAAAGAATCAAAGAAATTCGAATGGCAGGGGTGGCCATTTGGCACAGCAGTTAAGATGTATCTGGAGACACCTGCATCTTACATCCAGGGTGCCTGGTTCGAGTCCTCACTCTGATTTCAACATGGCTTCCTGCCAGTGGGCACCCCGGGAGGCAGCAGGCGATGCCTCAAGTATGTGGGCCCCTGCCACTCCCATGGGAGATGGATGGAGTTCAGGGTCTCCCAGCTTCACTTAGCCCTGCTGGGCTTTTGCAGGTATTTAGGGAGTGAATCAGCAGATGGAAATTCTATTCTTTTCCCTCTCTCTCCCTGTCAAATAACAATGAAAATAAATTTTAAAAAATTATGTCTTCAGGAAAATCTTGTATGTGGCGTGCACTTAGCTTGATTTAACATTAGCAGGTGTTGTCAATACTTTGTAATAGTTGATTTTTTGTGGCAAGACTTATCTGTTCCAAGCAAAACCTTGGGGTCAGTGTTCACAGTTGCCAGCATGGAATTAGCCTGCACAACCAACCAAAAGTCCCATCATGACTACACTCAGCTCCTTCTTGGTCAAGATCAACTTTTAGCTAATTTATCTCCTGCTCCATAAATAAGAACCACAACATTGATGGGCAAACAGCGCCACCCAGTGGCTGTGATTCACGTGGCAAAATTTGTTCTGTCCCTGAAATCTGAAATCAAGATTCTCAACTTTTGGATAAATCTCAGAAGTAAAATGTTTGACTTTAAAATTTCGACAAGTAAGGATTTTAAAAAACCTACCATCTATTGTCATTACCAGTTTGTATAAGGAATTTTTTAAAAAGATTTTTTTCCATTTTTAAAATAGTTTTCAGTGTAGAGACTTTTTTAAAAAGAAAGATTTATTTTATTTGAAAGGCAGAATTAGAGAGAGAAAGAGAGATTGATCTTCTGTCCACTGGTTCACTGCCCAAATTGCTGCAGTAGCCAGGGCTGGGCCAGGCTGAAGCCATGAGCCAGGAACTCCACCTGGGTCTCCCACATGGGTGACAAGGGCCTATGCACTTGAGCAATCCTCCACTGCCTTCCCAGGTGCATTAGCAGGGAGCTGGGTCAGAGGCAGAGCAGCCAGGACTTGAACCTGAGCTTTGATAAGGGATGCTGGTGACGCAGGTGGCAGCTTAACCTGCTGCACCACAATACCTGCCCCAAAGGCAGAGATTTTAAACTAGAAAATCAGAAAGGCCATGAATTCAGAGTCCTGCCAATGAGAGGGACAGTAGAAAATGGCATATGCTTCATGAATATATAAATAGTCCTAGGCTGGCGCCAAGCTCAATAGGCTAATCCTCCGCCTGCGGTGCCGGCACACCGGGTTCTAGTCCTGGTCAGGGCGCCAGATTCTGTCCCGGTTGCCCCTCTTCCAGGCCAGCTCTCTGCTGTGGCCAGGAAGTGCAGTGGAGGATGGCCCAAGTGCTTGGGCCCTGCACCCCATGGGAGACCAGGAGAAGCAACTGGCTCCTGCCTTTGAATTGGTGCGGTGCGCCAGCCGTGGCAGCCACTGGAGGGTGAACCAAGGGCAAAGGAAGACCTTTCTCTCCGTCTCTCTCTCTCTCACTGTCCACTCTGCCTGGCAAAAAAAAAAAAAAAAAAAAAAATCCATACTGTGTTAATAATAATGATATAAGGTCTTGGCTTTATCAGCCAAAGCAGAATTAAAGGCAAGCTCTGATGGGGCCGGCACTGTGGTGCAGTGGGTAAAGCTACTGCTTGGGACCACGGCATCCCCTATGTGTGCCAGTTCAGGTCCTGGCTGCTCCCTTCTGATCCAGTTCCCTGCTATGGCCTGGGAAAAGTGGGGGATGATGGCTCAAGTGTTTGGACCCCTGCCACCCACGTGGGAGACCTGGATGAAGCTCCTGGCTCCTGGCTTTGGCCTGACTCAGTCCTGCCCATTGTGGCCACCCTGGGAGCGAATAAGCGGATGGAAGCTCTCCCTCTCTCTAACTCTGATTTTCAAATAAATAAACTTTAAAACAACAACAACAAGTTAAGATCTCATGCACAGATAGAGTGGTGCTTCACTTAACCACAGGAAACTGTTTGGATAAATGTATGGTTAGGTGGTTTTGCTATTCCGGCCGCTAGGCTACAAACCTGTACACTATGTTACCGAGCTGAATACTGGAGGCAATTGACCACAGTGGTTACAGTGTAACACTTTACATCAGCCTCACTAACACTGTGTAATGTGCTATCCTCTGAAATTAGCATTGCCATAATGGCTCCAGTACCACCAGGCAGTAGGAAGTTGTCAGCGCCCTTGTAATCTCATGGGACCACGGGAACATTGCTATGCAGTACACGACTGTCCCCTTTTTCTTTTTTAAAAGATTTATTTATTACTTGAAAGTCAGAGTTAAACAGAGAGGAAGGCAGAGAGAGAGAGAGAGAGAGGTCTTCCATCTGCTGGTTCACTCCCCATTTGGCTGCAATGGCCGGAGCTGTGCCAATCAGGAGCCAGGAGCTTCTTCCGGTCTCCCACGTGGGTGCAGGGGCCCAAGGATTTGAGCCATCTTCTACTGCTTTCCCAGGCCACAGCAGAGAGCTGGATGGGAAGTAGAGCAGCCAGGACTCGAACCGGTGCCCATATTGGAAGCCAGCACTACAGGCGGCAGCTTTACCCACTTCACCACAGTGCCAGCCCCATGACTCCTTAATTTGGAAGGTATCAGGAGTAAGAGAGCAGGGAGAGATCATGAGTCATGTGCCTTTCCCACCAAGAGGCAAACTATTTTCCGTATTCTTAATCCTTGGGGTTGAAAAGAACCCACTCACCAAATCAGTACCCCTTATCAAACCTAAGAGGTTGGGGCTGGCGCCGTGGCTCACTTGGTTAATCCTCTGCCTGCGGTGCTGGCATCTCATATGGGAGCCAGGTTCTAGTCCAGGCTGCTCCTCTTCCAGTCCAGATGGCCCGAGTGCTTGGGCCCGTGCACCTGCATGGGAGACCGAGAAGAATCACCTGGCTCCTGGCTTCAGATTGGCACAGCGCTGGCCATGGTGGCCATTTGGGGAGTGAACCAACGGAAGGAAGACCTTTCTGTATCTCTCTCTCACTGTCTATAACTCTACCTGTCCAAAAAAAAAAAAAAAAAAAAAAAAACAACAACAACAAACAAACAAAAAAAACACTAAGAGGCTGTGTCTATTTGTTCTAGGAAAATCCTGCACTTGACCCAGCATCTGCGATTGGGCTACGCATCTGCCTGCTGCAGTCACCTGCCACATCCATCTGCTAGTTCAGGATCCACACAGGTGAACCCGATGGGGATAGGATCAGAACCACCAGCCCAGGGCAGGTGCTGTGGTGTAGCATACCGAGTAGCTGCCACTCTGACTCCACATCCCACACTGGAGAGCTGGCTCGAGTGCTGGCTGCTCCGCTTCTGACCTAGTTCCCCACCAGTGCACCTGGGAAAGCAGTGGAAGATGGCCCAAGTCCTTGGGCCCCTGCAATGACATGGGAGACCTAGTAGGAGTTCCTGGCTCCTGACTTCCGCCTGGCCATGCCCTGGCTGTTGCAACCATTTGAAGAGTGACCAGCAGTTCTCTCTCTCTGTGTGTGTCTCTATCACCCTGCCTTTTAAATAAATAAAATAATGCTAAAAAAAATGAAAATACCACCCCACCATCCTTATATCTTTGAAGGTGGCATAACACCTACAGTTCCACCTGGGCTGCAGTCTGTTGTGTTCTGAATTGAAGCTGGATTAGTTCCAGGTGATGTGCACAGAGAGAGAATTACATAAGAGGAAGCCAGGGGAGGGAAGGAGTTTGCCTTAGCATCTGGGACTCCTGTCACCATGGCTGCAAGAGATCCTACAGGCCCTACAAATCTGCCTTCTATTAAAAAAAAAAAAAAAAAAAAAGGCACGTTGGAGCCTGCACTGTGGTGCAGTAGGTTAAGCCTATGGGCACCAGTTATGATCCAGTTCTTTGCTGTGGCCTGGGAAAGCAGTGGAAGATGGCCCAAGTCCTTGGGCCCCTGCAATGACATGGGAGACCTAGTAGGAGTTCCTGGCTCCTGACTTCCGCCTGGCCATGCCCTGGCTGTTGCAAGTGATCCTGTGGATGGAGGACCTATCTCTAATTCTACCTCTTAAATAATCAATCAATAAATCGTTTGTTGGAAAAAAAAAAAAAAAAGAATGGATGGATGGAACCGCCTGTCACCGATGGACAGGTGTTCCCCACCGCTTTGCCAGGAGGCGGCAACCATGTGCCCTCAGCGCCTTTGCCTTCAGCCAGGAGTAAACATGACCGCCGCCACTTCCGTCGCCGCGGGAGGTGAAAGGTTACACAAGATGGCGGCGCCCAGGAGCGGCTGAGGCGTGAAGCCGAGGATGGCGCTGGCGGCGCTGGCAGCCGGGGCTCGGCTGGGGCGCCGGCTGAGGGGACCCGGGCTCGGGCTCGGGCGCGGGCCCTGGAGGGCGGCCGGACGGTCGCGGAGTCGGCGCGAGGCGGCCGAGGCCGAGGCGGACGCGCCCGTGTTGCAGTACGCCGGCGAGCGTGCGGCGCGCGCCCACCGCATCTTCGTGTGGGGCTTCAGCTACTCGGGAGCGCTGGGCGTGCCCAGCTTCGTGCTGCCCAGCGCCGGGCCCGAGCCCCGCGCCGGCTCCCGGCCGCGCCGCAGGATCCAGCCCGTGCCCTACCGTCTGGAGCTGGACCAAAAGGTGCGAGCCGCGGCCGCCCCCTCCTTCCTTTCCGTCCGCGGTCGGCCCTGGGGGAGGCCGGCGGCGCCGAGTGGGCAGCGTCCCGGGCCGGACGACCGTCGAGCTGGCCCTCGGGGCGGCTGGGTGCTGTGTGGGGCTGGCGTCGGCGCTCAGCACCCCGTAAGACGGAAGGAAAGGGACGCTCAGAGTCGAAGGCCAGGACTCGCACTCGGGGCCAGCCCGAGTGCGGCAGAGGAAAACTCAGAAAGCTGGTTGGCGTGGATGGACAGCCCCAAAGGAAGTGCTGGCTCAGGCAGTGGCGGGAAAGAGAGAGGCGTGGGAGAGACCCGGGCATGCCGCCTGGTCACCCCGGGTCGCTGTGGGGGATGCCCAGTTTGGACAGGTGGCTGCCAAGGATGGCAGCCCCGGGGAGCAGGCATGGGTGTCCAGGGTCTGTTCTGGTCTGGGGTAATCGCGGGAGTCTTGATGGGGAATGAGGAGGAAGCAGACTTGTCCAGTGTGTCTTCTGATGTCTCCGCCAAGGACTGCAAGTGGTCTTTTGATTGAAAAGAGTGCTGTGCCGGCGTCCCATCTGGATGTAGGTTCGAGTCCTGGCTGCTCCTCTTCCGATCCAGCTCTCTGCTATGGCCTGGGAAAGCAGTAGAAGACAGCCCAAGTCCTTGGGCCCCTGCACCCCTGTGGGAGACTCGGGAGAAGCTCCTGGCTCTTGGGCAGTGAACCAGAGGATGGAAGATCTCTCTGTAACTCTGCCTTTCAAATAAATAAAATAAATCTTGAAAAAGAAAAGGGGATATCAGAGAAGCAGGATTTAAGTTCTGGATGTTATGTTTTTGCCTCTTTTTTCAAAGAGTTATTTAGTTACTGGAAAAGCAGAGTGACAGCGGCAGACAGCTTCCACTTGCTGTTCACTCCCCAAAATGGCTGCAATGGCCAGGGCTGGGCCAGGCTGAAGCTGGGAGCCAGGAATTGCATCCGGGTCTCCCACGTGGGCCATTTGCTGCTGCTTTCCCAAGTGCATTGACAGGAAGCTGGATCAGAGAGAAAGAGAGAGAGAGAGGTCGAGAGGTCTTCCATCTGCTGGTTCACTCCCCAGTTGGCTGCAATGGCCTGAACTGCACTGATCCTAAGCCAGGAGCCAGGAACCTCTTCTGGGTCTCCCATACGGCTGCAGGGGCCCAAGGACTTGGGCCATCTTCCACTGCTTTCCCAGGCCACAGGAGAGAGCTGGTCGGAAGAGGAGCAGCTGGGACTAGAACCACTGCCCGTATGGGATGCCAGCGCTTCAGGCCAGGGTGTTAACCCACTGAGCTACAGTGCCGGTCCCCAAGTTCTCGGTCTTGTTCCATTGATCTGTCATCTGTCCTTATGCCGCAGTGGCTCTGTCTTGTTACAGGCTTTGTAATAGGTTCTGACGTTGGGAACTGTAAGTCCTCCAACTTGGGCTGTGTTCTGCTTGCCCCTTCTTTCCTTCTTTCCTGTTTCCCTTCCGTCTCTCCTGGCGCTCCAGTATTGGATGTGGGTGTTCCTAGCTGTGGCCTGACCCACTGTGCCTCAGTGTCTGACCTGTCCTTTTTTTTTTTTTTTTTTAAGATTTATTTATTTTACTTGAAAGTCAGAGTTACACAGAGAGAGGAGAGGCAAAAGAGAGAGAGAGGTCTTCCATCCGCTGGTTCACTCCCCAATTGGCTGCAACAGCCGGAGCTGCGCCAATCCAAAGCCAGGAACCAGGAGCTTTGTCTGGGTCTCCCACGTAGGTGCAGGGGCCCAAGGATTTGGGCCATCTTCTACTGCTTTCCCAGGCCATAGCAGAGAGCTGGACAGGAAGTAGAGCAGCCGGGTCTCAAACCAGCACCCATATGGGATGCCGGCACTTCAGGCCAGGGTGTTAACCCACTGCGCCACGGCACCGGCCCTGTGACCTGTTCTTTAAAAAAAAAAAAAAAATTGTTTTCACTGGGAACAGCATTTGGCGCGGTGATGAAGATGCTGCCTGGGTCACGTGCATCCCACATTGGAGGGCCTGGGTTTGAGACCCTGCTCCGCTTCCAGCTCAGCTACCTGCTAGTGCGCACCCTGGGGAAAAGCGGGTGATGGCCCAGGTATCGGTTCCCTGCCACTCATCTGAATTTCCATGCTTCTGGCTTCATCCTGGCCCAGCCCAGGCTGTTGCAGCCATTTGGGAAGTGAACCAGCAGATGGAACATCTGTCTGTCTGTTTCTGCTTTTAAAATAAAAATAAACCTAAAATAAATAAACAGAGACAGAGTTCTTCAGTCTGCCTTAGCTTTGCTTTCTACAGGGTGCTCTGGTATCCCCAGTCCATTTTTAAAAAAAAAGATTTATTTATTTATTATTTTTTTTGACAGGCAGAGTGGACAGTGAGAGAGACAGAGAGAAAGGTCTTCCTTTGCCGTTGGTTCACCCTCCAATGGCTGCCGTGGCTGGCGCGCTGCAGCCAGCGCACCGCGCTGATCTGATGGCAGGAGCCAGGTACTTATCCTGGTCTCCCATGGGGTGCAGGGCCCAAGGATTTGGGCCATCCTCCACTGCACTCCCTGGCCACAGCAGAGAGCTGGCCTGGAAGAGGGGCAACCGGGACAGAATCCGGCGCCCTGACCGGGACTAGAACCTGGTGTGCCGGCGCCGCAAGGCGGAGGATTAGCCTGTTGAGCTGTGGCGCTGGCCTGATTTATTTATTTGAAGATCAGAGTTACACAGAGAGGCAGAGAGAGAAGTCTTCCATCTGCTGGTTCGCTCCCCAAATAGCCACAACGGCAGGAGCTGTGAGAATCCAAAGCCAGGAGTCAGGAGCTTCTTCTGGGTCTCCCACATGGGTGCAGGGGCCCAAGGACTGTGTCATCTTCTACTGTTTTCCCAGGCCATAGCAGAGAGCTGGATTGGAAGTGGAGTAGCCAGGACATGAACCGGCGTCCATGTGGGATGCCGGCACTGCAGGCAGAGGCTTAGCCTGCTACACCACAGCGCCAGCCTCTCCCCTGTCCATTTGTCCGTGGATGCGTGGAGAGCCCCATGGATCACTGGCTTCTGAGATCTTCCTGTGAAGTGTCGCGTTGGGCTGTGTCGCCTCCCAACCTCATCGGGACGGCTTTTCGTGTCTGTCTGCTGCTGGACACAAGTTCTCTCTGTCCATTCCAGCAGCCACGCTGACGGCTCTCACAGCCAGCTCCTTCCTTGTGAGATGTCTGTGCAAAGATGGTGGCGACGCCTGCATCCCCTGTCCCGTGCTGGGGCTCAAGTCCTGGCTCCTCTCCCAATTGCAACTTCCTGCTCATGGCTGCCCCGGGTGGGGGCAGGTGATGGTTCAAGCGCTTGGCTTTTTGCCACCCACATGGGAGACTCACGTGGAGTTCTCCGCTCCTGGCTGCAGCCTGGCCCAGGTCAGCCTTACAGACATGTGAGGAATGAACCAGCGCACAGGAGCTCCCGTCTCTGCCTTCCTGAGTAAATAGAGAGAGAGCTGGGGTCTTTGCTGACGAGCTGGGCTGCGAGACAGGTGCTTGCTCTTCTTATCTCTCAGTTTATTTGCCTTGGACTGATTTTTTTTTTTTCAGAGCCCTGAAGGGGTTGTTTGGATTTTGCCCATTTTCCCAGTTTTCTTCTCGCCTTTGTTGGGGGAGAGGTGTGCTTTCCTCATCAGTCACGCTGTCACGGTTGGAAGTGCTCCCGGCACGTGACCCTATGGTGGTTCAGGCAGCCTGCACGGCTTTTTCACGGATGGGCAGGTTTAGTGGTACAGTGTGTGCTCACCAAATATTTGTTGAATGTTCAATAAGTGGGCATCACCCAGCAGTGGGAGTGAGCATAGGGTGTGATTTTCAGGCCATCTCCGCCCTCCCCGCAGCTCATTCTGTGGAGCCGGAGCCTGACGGAGAGGTGTGGGTGCTCTCGGAGGCTGGAGAACTACGGTGTATATTGATTTTTTTATTTTTTGAAAAGATTTATTTGATTGAAAAGCAGAGCAACAGAGAAAGAGAGACAGAGGTCTCCTGTTTGCTGGCTCATGCCCTACATGGCCACAACAGCTAGATCTGGACCAGGCCCTAGCCAGGAGCCAGGAGCTCCATCTGGGTCTCCTACGTGGGTGCAGGGGTCCAAGCACTTGGGCCATCTTCCCCTGCTTTCCCAGGGGCATCAGCAGGGAGCTGCATTGGAAACAGAACAGCCGGGACTCGAACTGGTGCTCTGATGTGGGATGTTGGCACTGCAGGTGGCAGCTTAACCCGCTGTACCCAACACTGTTCCAAAGGTGGTTTTGTTTTGTTTTAAGATTTAGTTCGTTTGTTTGAAAGGCAGAGTCACAGAGCGAGAAGGAGAGAGACAGAGAGAGAGAGGTCTTCCATCTGCTGGTTCATACCCAGATGGCTGCAACAGCTGGGGCTGAGCCAGGCCAAAGCCAGGAGGCAGGAGCTTCTTCTGGGTCTCCCACGTGGGTGCAGGGGCCCAAGCACTTGGACAATCTTCCACTGTTTTCCCAGGCCATCAGCAGGGAGCTGGAGGTGAAGTGGAGTAGCCAGGACATGAACCGGCGCCCATGTGGGATGCCGGCACAGCAGGTGGAGGCTTCACCTACCACACCACAGCGCCGGCCCCAGCTGAGGCGTTTTGACTGATGCTTCCTCATGGAGAAGCATTGGTCCATTTTTTGTTAGTGTAACAAGATACCCGAGATGGGCTAAAATAATGTCACGTGACTCTCAGTTACAGAGGCTCGGGGGACATGGCAGTGGCATTGGTTGACCGTGGTGAGGGCGTCCCCGTGGTGGGCAGGTGCGTGAGGGGTGTCGCATGGCCAGACAGGAAGTCAGAGGGAGCTCACTGTAGCTGTAGGGTGGTCCCTCCTCTGCATGGGACTGGCTTGGGCAGTGTAGCACCAGGGTGAAGGGTGTGCCTACTCGAATCCCACTGCCTGGGCGGCTTATCAGGCAAGGGATGTAACTCCAGAGCCTCAGGTGGCTCCTCTGCCAGGTACTGTCACACCACCAGCAGTAATGTGTGCATTTTCCATCCTTTTCAAAGAAGGTTATGAAAAAAAAGAAAAAAGAAGGTTATTTATTTGGAAGAGTGACAGAGATTTTTTGATCTGCTGGTTCATTTCCCTAAATGTCCCCAGCAGCTGGGGCTGGGCCAGGAACTCCAGGTCTCTAAGACAGGTGGCAAGGACCCAAGTCCTTGGGCCATCATAACACTGACTCCCAGGCGCAAGAAGCTAGATTTGAAGTGGGGTAGCTGGGACTCGATGCCAGGCACTGATAGGGCATGCTGGCCTCCCAGGTGGTGGCTTAACCCGCTGCACCACAGTGCCGGCCCCCATGGATAGTATTGTAAGGGTTTTCATTGTATAAAGTCATTTAGTGTTTCCGGACTGGCGCCGCGGCTCACTAGGCTAATCCTCCGCCTAGCGGCGCCGGCACACCGGGTTCTAGTCCCGGTCGGGGCGCCGGATTCTGTCCCGGTTGCCCCTCTTCCAGGCCAGCTCTCTGCTGTGGCCAGGGAGTGCAGTGGAGGATGGCCCAAGTGCTTGGGCCCTGCACCCCATGGGAGACCAGGAAAAGCACCTGGCTCCTGGCTCCTGCCATCGGATCAGCGCGGTGCACCGGCCGCAGTGCGCCGGCCGCGGCGGCCATTGGAGGGTGAACCAACGGCAAAGGAAGACCTTTCTCTCTGTCTCTCTCTCTCACTGTCCACTCTGCCTGTCAAAAAAATAAATAAATAAAGTCGTTTAGTGTTTCCGATGACCCAGTGAGAGAGACACCGTCACCGACAGCATCTGCATTTCCCAGGGGGAAACAGAGAGGTGAGGTCGTCTGTGTGGGTCACACTGCTGTGAGGGAGCGGGAGCGGCCAGGGTTGGCCTCGGGCAGCCGTCCACGGCCCGGTGAGGGGGCAGGAGTGCAGGCTGAATGTCCCTTATCCGAGAGGCTTGGGACCAGAGGTGTTGCCTGTTTCAGAGTTTTTCGAATTTGGGAATATTTGCACAGACTTTACGAGTTGAGCATCCCTAATCCAGAAATCTAAAGTGTTCCAAAAGCCAAAATGCTTTGGCCATCACATTGGCACTCTTCGAATTCCCAATTTCGGAGCATTTTGGATTAGGATTGCTCAACCTGTACCTGGTTCGTAAGGTGAGTTTTTTTTTTTTTAGACTAAATGAGTTGAGGCCAGCATGGCTGCTCTGCTTCCTGTCCGGTTCCCAGCTGATGGACCCAGGAAGGCAGATGAACCAAGTGCTCGTGTCCCTGCCACCCATGTGGGAGCCCAGGATGGAGCTCCTGGATCCTGCGTTCAGCCTGGCCCAGCCCTGGCTGTTGCAGCCTTTTGGGGAGTGAACCAGCAGGTGGAAGATCTCTGTCTCTCCCTGTCTGTCTCTGCCACTCTGCCTTTCAAAATAATAAACCGATCTTTTAGATCCAGACACGCAGTAAATGCTCGCAGGCCCATTAATGCGTTTCGGGAACCTCCCTTTCAGATTTCGTCTGCTGCCTGCGGCTACGGATTCACCTTGCTGTCCTCCACAACCAAGGACGTCACCAAAGTCTGGGGGATGGGACTCAACAAGGACTCTCAGCTGGGATTTCAGAGGAGCCGCAGAGATCAAAGTGAGCTTTGGCCCTGGCCGCGCGCGCGGAGGCAGTGGGGGGTGTTGTTTAGAGCCATCTGGGGCCAGTTGTTGTTTTCAGTCTATTTTTTTCAGTCTCTTTTGCTTGAGGCAAAAGGACTGGCATATGCAGACAAGTGAAAGCATTCCTTTAATTATTCTTATTTATTTATTTATTTATTTATTTGGAAGGCGGAGTGGCAGAGAGAGGGAGAGACAGGGAGAGATCCGTCATGTACCGCCTCACTCCCCAAATGGCCACAGCAGTCAGGGCCGGGCCGGGCCGGGCCAGGCGGAAGCCAGGAGCCAGAACTCCATCCTGGTCTCCCTTGTCAGTGGCAGGGGCCCAAGGTCCTTGGGCCATCTCCCGCTGCTTTCCCAGGCTCTTTAGCAGGGAGCTGGATCGCAAGCGGAGCATCCAGGGCTTGAACCGGCGCTCTGATGTGGAAGGCCATTGTCACAAGCAGCGGCTTCAGCCCACAGCACCACGAGGCCAGCCCCTAGGTGTTCATTTTTTTGGCCCAAAAAGAGCTGTGCTTTCTTTTCTAGCTCAGTGGCGGCCTGTAATACTGTACAGCCTAGAGTAAGGTCTGTGGGAGAAAAGATCCCCTTGCAGTGAAGGGAGGGTTGTTCTGGATATTTGCAACTTGGATTATAAACATATTAGGCAGAAGTTAAAATGACACTTGTTTGCAAGTAGACGTTGGCCAAACGATATAATAATAATAACCATAGGGGACAAGGTTATTGGGAGTATATATTCAACATATCTTTCTTGTTTTTTTCCCTGTGTTCCTGTTCATATGCAAATCTATTTTTAATATAATTTTCGTCATAGAACATGTTTTTGTTTTCTGCTTTTTTCACTTAATTTTATATCAGAAGTGTCTTTGATAAGTCAGTATTAAAGTGTTTATTAGCTGTAAGATGCTACATTACATTTGTTAAATATGAAAATACCTCAGAAGGTTTGTGGAAAATGGAATTTAAAGTGTATTTTGATGCAAAAAATGTTTGAAATCCACACACAAAGGAGTCTTCAACAAGTTAATGAAAAATGCATGCTATGACAAAACTGCATGGATTTCAACGTTTTTTTTTTTGCTCTAAAATAGGCTAGTTTCATTTTTTCACAAGCTTTAACAGTATTTTAAAACTTCATTAGTTTATTTCAAAGGCAGAAAGAGAGAGAAAGGGGATCTTCCATCTGCTGGTTCACTCCCCAGACGCCTTCAACCCAGGCTGGAGCCAGAGATGCCTGGAACTCAGTCCAGGTCTTCCATGTGGGTGGCAGGGACCGAAGTCCCCGGCCTGCCAGGTGCACATAGCAGGAAGCCAGATTGGAAGCAGAACAGGTGGGACTTGAATGAACCCGGCCACTGAGATAGGGGACGCAGGCATCCCAAGCAGCCGCTCAGCCACTGTGCCAACTCCTGCCCTTCCCGTGAACCCCGGGAAGCGCCCTCTGGTACCTCCTGTTAGCGGCACTTTTAGACACACACGGAAGAGCACAGAACTGTGTAGCGCATCCCAGGCTGTCCGCAGCTGCAGGAGTTGCCTTTGCCTCCTTGTGCTTGTCTTGTTTTATTGTATTCATTATCTATTTATTTATTTTGAAATGCAGAGTTACAGAGAGAGAGAGAGAGAGATCTTCCACCTGCTGGTTCACCCACCAAATGGTCGCAATGGCTGGGGCTGAGCCAGGCGGAAGCCAGGAGCAGGAGCATCTACCTGGTCTCCCACGTGGGTGCAGGGGCCCAGGCTCTTGGGCCATTCTCTGCTGCTTTTGCAGGAATATTAGCAGGGAGCTGGAGCAGAAGTGGAGCAACTGGGACTTGAATGGCTGGCACCCATGTGGGATGCTGGTGCCGTAGGCGGCAGCTTAACCCACTGTGCCACAATGTACCCTCGTTTTATTCATTTCTTCTCTCTACCTCTCAAGAAATGTGAAGCAAATTTCAGCATTAATTTTCTCAGAAATAATTCACTGCATATCTGAAAAAAGACTTTTTTAGAAAAGAGTAACCATGCTATCGTCATCACACCTAAAATTAATGATTTAATCCCTCAGTATCATCAGATAGGCAGTGTTCAGATTGCTAATTGTCTTAGAAGTGTCATGAGGTTTTTTAAATTTTGAAAAATTGACTTAAATCAAGATACACATAAGATCCAGATGTGATTGGGTGCTGAGATTTTTGCAAGTTTTTAAGCCTGTTTTAATCTTTGTTGTTGTTGTTGTTGTTGAAACGTACTTGTTGAAGTCTTCATTTCCCTATCCTGTAGAATTTCCTGCTCTGGGGTTTGCAGACTTCATCATCCCTGTGGTGTCATTTCCCATGCGCCCCTCCCTCTGTGTGCCTGTCAGTTGTTAGTTGGATCTAGAGCCAGAAGCCCTTTATTTTTATAAAGATTGATTTATTTATTTGAAAGTCAGAATTACACACAGAGAGAAGGATAGGCAGAAAGAGAGAGAAACAGGTCTTCCATCTGCTGGTTCACTCCCAATTGCCTGCAACGGCCGGAGCTGTGCCGATCTGAAGCCAGGAGCCAGGAGCTTCTTCAGGTCTCCCATGAGCATGCAGAGGCCCAAGGACTTGGGACATCTTCTTCTGTTTCCCAGGCCATAGCAGAGAGCTGGATTGGAAGTGGAGCAGCCGGGACACGAACCGGTGCCCATATGGGATGCTGGCTCTGCAGGTGGCGGCTTTACCCACTACGCCACAGTGCCACAGAACCCCTTTAAATGTTAGGTTAGCTGGTTACTGCCTCCCAGGCCCTTGGGGGTCAGTGCTAAAGCAGTTGGTCATGGAAGCCACTCTTCAGGAGTTTAAAGAACGGTTGTAGTGGCCAGCCTTGTGGCATAGCAGGTGGCTTGCAATGCTGGCAGCCTATGTCAGAGTGCCAGTTGAGGTCCCAGCTGTTCCACTTTCTTTATTTTTTATTTTTATCAGACAGCTAGAGTTATAGACAGTGAGAGAGAGAGAGACAGAGACAGAGAGACAGAGACAGAGAGAAAGGTCTTCCGTTGGTTCACTCCCCAGTGGCCGCTGCGGCCGGCACTGTGCTGATCTGAAGCCAGGAGCCAGGTGCCTCTTCCTGGTCTCCCATGTGGGTGAAGGGGCCCAAGCACTTGGGCCATCCTCCACTGCCCTCCCGGGCCACAGCAGAGAGCTGGACTGGAAGAGGAGCAACTGGGATTAGAACCCGGTGCCCATATGGGATGCTGGTGCCGCAGGCTGAAGATTAACCAAGTGAGCCACGGCGCCGGCCCCGGGAGCCACTCTTTAGGAGTTTAAAGAACGGTTGTAGTGGCCAGCCTTGTGGCATAGCAGGTGGCTTGCAATGCTGGCAGCCTGTATCAGAGCTGTTCCACTTGCCGTCCAACTTCTTGCTAATGCACCTGCTGGAAGACAGCAGATGATGGCCCATGCCAGTCACCTGGATGCCTGGATCGAGTTCTGGGCTCCTGACTGGCCTGGCCCAGCCCTGGCTGTTACAGGTATTTGGGGGAGGGAACCACTGGATGGATGGAAGCTCTCTCTCCATCTGTCTCTCTGCCTTTCAAAGAAAATGCAGATAAACGAAATAAACAATTTAAACATTTAAATGGTATTAATCGACATGTAAAGAGATACCTAAGACTAAGGCCATGTGGTTAGTGGGCTTTGAGTGAGTCATTTTGACCTGACTCCCCCAAGGGACACGTGCTGGGGGGCTGGGCAGTTTGGCCCCTAACGTTAGAAACGCTGAGGTTCTCCATGTGTGTTGTTACTGACCCTGGTGGGGGTTGTCCAGCCAGGGGCTACGAGTACGTTCTGGAGCCCTCGCCCGTCCCACTGCCCCTGGACAGACCTCAGGAGACCCGGGTGCTGCAGGTGTCGTGTGGCAGAGCTCACTCGCTGGTGCTGACGGACAGGGAAGGAGGTGGGTGCCCCCTGGGAGCTAGGCGGAGGGAGGGGCCGCGTCCTTGCTGTTGGGTCCTGGGGCTCATTTAGCTGAGCCACGTCCGATGAATGAACTTGCACGTCCCCTGGGCACACCCCTTGGCTTGCTCAGAAGAGCTGGGTCGGTGGGAGCGTGCCAGCCCCCACGTCCTGCAGCTCCATGGTTCTCGGCAAATCGCGGGTGTTCCTCTGCACGACAGGCGGCGTTGTCTGGCGGTACCAGAAGAAGCCGGTTGGCCAAGTCCTGTTCCTGTAGCAGGGGCTGTCAGAGGCCAGGGCCCTGGCATCTTTTCCAGGGAAAGGCCAGAGTGCCTGGGGACGTGCCCGTGCTAGGAGAGGAAGTGCGTAGGGGCTGTCACAAGAGTGGATTTGGCATCAAGGGCAGCTCCGCGGCAGTGTGGGCAGCGGCGGGGCGGAGCCAGGGCCTGGAGAGGAGGCAGGCGTGGCCCGACACCCTCGTGCGTGTGTCCACAGACGCCGGGGGCCAGCTAGGGTGAGCAGTCAGACTGGGCTGCTTTTGAAGGCTCCCCGCACCCCGGGTCCCCGCGCCGACATCCTCCCTGAGAACCCATGAGCGTACAGAACTGACTGAGTGGCTGCTGGTGTTTATCCTTCAGTCTTCAGCTTGGGAAACAACTCCTACGGGCAGTGCGGAAGAAAGGTGGTGGAAGACGAAGTTTACAGGTGAGCTTCCAGACCACTGCCCTGCTCAGGTGGTGCGAGGCACTGGCCGCTCCTCCAGCGACTGCTGTGGTGAGCGCCCGAGAGCTGTGGCAGGCCTGGTACTGGGGGGTGGGTGAGCCTGGCTTGGGAGGGGGCGCTTCTCAGAACGAATTTTTATGAGTTTTTTTTTTTTTTTTAAGACCTACTTATTTCTTTGAAAGGTACAGAGAGAGAGAGAGAGACAGAGACAGACAGAAATATGTTCCATCTGTTGGTTCACTCTGCAAATAGCTGCAGTGACCAGGAGTGGGCCAAGCTGAAGCCAGGAGCCTGGAACTCCACTGGTCTCCCACGTGGGTGGCAGGGACCCAAGTACTTGGGGCAACATCCACTGCTCTCCCAGGCGTATGGTAGCTGGACAGGAAGCAGAGCAGCCAGGACTGGCACCGGCACTCTGATAGGAGACGCAGGGCCCAAGGACTTGGCTCCTCTTCTGCTGCTTTCCTAGGCATACCAGCAGGGAGCTGGATCAGAAGTGGAGCAGCCACGTCTTGAACCGGCACCCATGTGGGATGCTGGCATCGCAGGCAGCAGCTTTACCCGCTATTCCACAGCTCCAGGGCCACTTTATTTTTTATTTATTTATTTATTTATTTATTTTGACAGGCAGAGTGGATAGTGAGAGAGAGAGAGACAGAGAGAAAGGTCTTCCTTTGCCATTGGTTCACCCTCCAATGGCCGCCGCGGCCGGCACGCTGCGGCCGGTGCACCGCGCTGATCCGATGGCAGGAGCCAGGTACTTATCCTGGTCTCCCATGGGGTGCAGGGCCCAAGCACCTGGGCCATCCTCCACTGCACTTCCTGGCCACAGCAGAGAGCTCGCCTGGAAGAGGGGCAACTGGAACAGAATCCAGCGCCCCGACCGGGACTAGAACCCGGTGTGCCGGCGCCGCAAGGCGGAGGATTAGCCTAGTGAGCCGCGGCGCCGGCTTCCAGGGCCACTTTAAACATGTTTCTGTCCTGTCAACCCTTTCTCTGTAGTTCCCTGCATCAATCTCTGTCTCAACTCCGGCTGCATATTAAAGTCACCCAGGGTTTTTCCTTGTTTTCATGGCCAGGCCTAACTCTGCCTCGTATCTGACCTTGAGAGTGGCTCTAACATTTACCGTGTGTGTGTGTGTGTGTGTGTGTATGTGTGTGTGTGTAGGGGGGAGGGCTGCTGACCACCAGCTGGCGGACACAGGGCGGGGTCCAATACCGCACAGCGCTTACCACAGCCATGTACTTGCTTTTCCCCACCTCGCTCCCGATGGCAGTGAAAGTCACAAAGTGCATCGGCTGCAGGACTTCGATGGGCAGGTGGTCCAGGTGAGAGCCGTGGTTGGAGAGCCGCTCGGCCTACCCTCGGGTGCTTCTGCAGGGTTGGAAGTTGCGTGGGATGGTGGCGAATTTGTCAGGGAGATTTTATGAAATATCTTTAGTTGCACAGAATTTTTTTAAAGATGTATTTATTATCTGGAAGTGGAGCAGCCAGGGCACTCTGATATGGGGTGCAGACATCACAAGTAATGGCTTAACCAGCCATGCCACAGCACCGGCCCTGCGTGTAGGGCCTCTTTCACAGCTTCCGGGTCACCTTGTTTTGAGTTCAAGTTCCCGGCCCTCCACTTACTGCCTGAGTGACTTGGGGCAGGTCTCCAAGCTTCTTTCAGGTTGCCTTTCTGCCTGGGTGGTCGCAGGTACTGACTTAGCACAGTCCCTGGCATAGTTCATGTACAATAAGTGGCACTTTCCCTTAGAAGCTTGGAACTCCCCGGAGTTGCTGAGCCTGGAGGTGAGAGTGTAGGGTGACAGGTAAGGCCCAGGAACCGATGCAGTGTCCCAGGGAAGGGTGGATGAGGAGGAGAGGGCCGGAGACAGACCTCGGAGACCGCAGTGCAGGCCCCGGAGAAGCGGGGGTGGGCAGGAGCCCAGTGCCGTGCGGTGCAGGCAGTGGCGCCTCAGGGTCGGAGCGAGTGCGGTGGCTGGGGCTGCCCCTAGGGCCGGGGCCCTTGTAGAGTGGGAGGTGAAAGCTGGGAGTGGTGGGTTCAGAAGGAAGACGACGTGGGGGCGGGGTGGGTGGCCCACGTGGACCCCGCCCTCCTGGCGCTGGGGGGTGGGGGTGGCGTAGCGGTGCTGGGTCTTGGTTCCCGTCAGCCTCTCCTGTGTTTGTCTGCCAGGTCGCCTGTGGCCAGGATCATAGTCTGTTTGTGACAGATCGAGGAGAAGTGTATTCCTGTGGATGGGGCGCCGACGGGCAAACAGGTAGTGTCTCTGGCAGCCGGCCGGGATGGTGTGGGGGCTCGGCCTGTGTCATAAACCCTGGGGTTGGGGGCACTGCTGTTCCATTCCCCGCATGCGCGGCTCCCCCAGAAATGACCCCAGAGAGCACCGCGGGGAGCGCTGGCCACCAGGTGAGGGGCTCCAGAGCCCCCGGGCTGGAGGTGTGACTCCGCCTCCTAATGGCTTCTTTCCACCAGTGTTTAGTCAGTTTCAGTCGTGAGCGGATCTCTTGCTGAATTAAATTTGTGGAAGCCCCAGGGACCCAGGGTGGCCGTCTCTCCTCCGGAGAGGACTAGGATTTGCTTATGGTGTTGCTGAGGGAACGCTACCAACGTGACGCTGCTGCGGCCCCCTCTGGGGAGTCCCGCTCTAGAGCCCGGGTCCACGGCCTGTTGCACTGTGGCTGCTGCGTGGGGATCACCCCCAGGGCCCTGCAGACTTTAGCACATGTCCTTGGGTGGGAGCTGTTGTCCTCTGTTCCCTGTTCATGGGGGCCGGCTTCAAGTCACGGCTTTTAGGGCTGGGAGAGACGTTCCACCTGCCAGAGGTCCTCCCTGGCCTGTGACCTGAGCGGCTCCAGGGGTTTAGGAAACGCGTATTCTACAGTCCCGTTCCGGAGGGTGGAGTCAGGTGGGCAGGCAGAGGAGCGGAGTAGGATTTTGCAGCTGCTGCCCGTTACGAGCTCAGCACGGTGCCTGGCCCCCAGGAAGGCTTTGCGAGAGTGGTTCCAAGATCCGAGCAGTGAGAAGTGTCTTCCTGCACTAGGTCTCGGCCACTATAACATCACCAGCACCCCCACCAAGCTGGGAGGAGACCTCGCCGGAGTGCACGTCGTCCAAGTCGCCACCTACGGCGACTGCTGCCTGGCCGTGTCCGCCGACGGGGGTGTCTTTGGCTGGGGGAACTCCGAGTACCGGCAGCTGGCCTCTGTCACTGACTCCACACAGGTAGGGGTCACCCCCGCTCGGGCCGGGCGGCCTTGGATACAGAGCAGTAGATACATTCGGAAGGGGCCGTTTGCCGGGTTGTGGTGTAGGGTGCTGGTTGGGCAGAAGCTTCGTTCGCTTGGAAAGCCCTTGTCATCCGCCCTCGGAGATGGCCCCGTGGAGGTTGGCTGTGTCTGGGCTGGCTGGCTTCTACGGAAGAGCCATGAGGCCGCTTGCTGAGTCTGCATGGTGCCGCCGTGCGTCCTGCGGTGCAGGGCAACAAGCGTGCCGAAAGCACCTGGTGGCGAGCCTGCTGCTCACGGAGGCCCTGCCTGTGGCGCCTCCCCACGTCTGCCGCCGCCTCACTGAGGGAGCCACTAGCAATACAGGATTTTTAGTCTTATTAAGGAACGTTGCAAATCGAAGCGTGACACAGATTGTTGTAGAAGTAATTTCTCTCTAACCATCACCCACACTCGGCAGTTACCAAACTAAGGGCCCATTTTTTGTTTGTTTGTTTTTTGACAGGCAGAGTTAGACAGTGAGAGAGAGACAGAGACAGAGAGAAAGGTCTTTCTTCCATTGGTTCACCCCCCAAATGGCCGCTGCGGCCGGAGCACTGTGCCGATCCGAAGCCAGGAGCCAGGCGCTTCCTCCTGGTCTCCCATGCGGGTGCAGGGCCTCCACTGCCCTCCTGGGCCACAGCAGAGAGCTGGACTGGAAGAGGAGCAACCAGGACAGAACTGGCACCCCAACCAGGACTAGAACCCAGTGTGCCGGCACTGCAGGTGGAGGATTAGCCTAGTGAGCTGCGGCGCCGGCCCAAGGGCCCATTTTTAAAAATTGAGATGGCAGGGTGGGCACTTGGTGCAGTGTCGCAGTTGTCACTTGGGGTGCATCCTCCATCACAGAGCCTGGGTTTGAGTCCTGGCCCCTCTGCTTCCAGTCCAGCTTCCTGCTCATGCGCACCCGGGGAGGCACAGGTCATGGCTCAAGTCCTTGGGTCCCTGCCGCCCCCAAGGGCAGCCCAGGTTGAGTTCCAGGTGTCTGACTTTGGCCTGGCCCAGCCCTGGCTGTTCTGGGCATCTGGGGAGTGAACAGCACAAGGAAGATCTCTGTATATCTCTCTGCCAGTCTGTCACATAAGATGAAAAGAAATGAAGTTTTTAAAATAAAAAAAAAATTTTAAAAAGATTTATTTTATTTATTTGAAAGAGTTACAGTGAGGCAGGCTGTTCTGAAGCAGGTCTGAGCCGTCCTGTTCCATCCCTGACTTGCAGGTGCGTCTCAAAGAGCAGGGCCTTGTAGGAAGCCGTTTACATTCTGTAATATTACCACATTTCCGATAACCCGCAGAAGGATTTTAAGTACATATCAGTCCAGACAGAAATCGATACAAAAAGAAACTAAGGATCAGCCAAAAAGATGGAACAAAACAAAGCTTTCCTTGTGATCTGGCACAGCGGCCGTCATGGTTGCAAATTTAGCTGTGAGCTCGCCAGCGGCCAGAGCAAAGAAGAGAGCAGGGGTACTTATTTATTTAAAACTTGTTTTTCACTGTAACGCTTTGATATTTGTTTGGAGAGGCAGCGAGGGAGAGAGAGAGACAGAGAAGTCCCTCCTGTGGCTCGTTCCCCAAACGCCCGCAATAGCAGGGGCTGGGCCCGAGCAAAGCTGGGAGCTGAGAACTCCATCCGGGTCTCCCATGTAGGTGACAGGGACCCAAGTCCTCCCAGGCTGAGTGTTCGCAGGAGGCTGGGCTCAGCCACAAAGCCAGGACCTGCACCCAGACGCTCCTCCCCTGCCCCGCGAGAGGGTGGTTATTTAGATGTTTCCTTGTCTGTCTAAGATAAACAGCGGAGGAGGTGCTGTGAAGAGGGCCGGCTCTTCCTGAAAGCAACACGTCCCCTGTGGCCTCTCCTGTGGGCGGCGGATCCAGTGTCACCTTGTTCTTGCTTGTTGCTGCCAATCAAACGACTCCAAAATGTCGTGGGGCAGAGTAACCCACGTTTACGCCACGGTTCCTGTGGGTCGGAAGTCTGGAGGGTGCGTTCGGGTCTGGGTGCCGAGTCTCCAAGGCCGCAGTCATGTTCAGGTTCAGCGGGGAAGGAGCTGCTTCCAGGCCTGCTCAGTGGTGTTGGCAGCGCGCAGGCCCTCGTGGACTGTTGGACTGAGGCACGGCTCTCGCTGGCAGCCGGCCACCCAATAGCTGTGGCCAGGCCCTCACCACGGGCCAGCTCTCAGCATGCCGTTGGCTTCCTCGGAGCGAGGCAGCGGGAAGGCGGGAGGGTGCCAGGAAGACAGATGCCTGTGGTTCATCATTTAGTCTTGGAAGTGAACCCCTTGCGGGTGCTGGGTTCTCTTTACTGGGAGCCAGTCCCTGGGCCTGGCTGGGTTTGGGGGCCATGCAGGGGTGTGAGTAGCCGGGGGCCGGGAGCCTCCGGGGCCCTCTTACAAGCAGCCTGCACAATCATGATTTTTGATTTTTTTTTTAAATTTTTAAAATTGACTCAATATCAAGTTTTGACTGTGGCCCGAACCTCACCCTATCGGTGGCGGCAGTGGGGAGGGGAGGGGGTTTACTGGGCCGCCCCAGTATCTGCCCAGGGCACTGTGCAGAGCGCAGCGGGAGAGACACCGTGGAAGTGCCACGCGGTGGGGTCTCGGAGCCAGCCGCGGCTGCCCAGCTTCCCCCGGGCCAGCGTCTTCTAGCTGGGCAGGCCCCCGACTGCCCCCAGTCCACTCAGGCGCTGCTGTCCTGCAGTTGTCACTGCCATGGAGCCGACGACCGAGCTGTCGGGAGATGGCCCGTGGTGGCTGGATGGAAATGCAGGGGGCGGGAAGGCCCTCAGTCCCCAACGTGGATCCCACGCACCTGCCCGTGTCTGCCCCTGCGCCAGCCCCAGGCGTGTTCCCTTCTGTAGCGCACAGAGGGCCTTGCTCTGGAAACTGATGCTTTTCCCTTTGCCCTGAGTTCCATCTCCTCACTGCTTCCCGGAAGCCTCACTCCCGGGAGCTGCTGTGTAGGCTAACGGTGAAGACGCCCACAGCCCGCATTGGACTACCTGGGGTTGATGCCTGGCTCTGACTCCTGACCCCAGGTTTCTGCCGTTGCAAAATGGGAGGCAGCACTGATGGCTCAAGTCGTTGGCTTCCTGGCGCACACATGGGAGACCTGCGTTGCATTCTCGGCTCCCAGCCAAGGCAGGTGTTTAGGGAGTGAACCACAGTGGGCACCTGTCTGTCAGCCCACCTCTCAGACACAGAAGGAGACCCCGCTCCCTCTGCTGGGCCTGCTCCCTGGGGGCTGGCTCCTTGCCACTGGCTCTGCACCTGACCGGCCTGCTTCCTCTCCCTGCCCTCGCTGTCTCTCTGCCTCGCCAGCCGGGCCAGGCTTTGCACGAGCCGTGTCTCCTGCCTGTGTTTGTTTCCTGGTCTCCATCCCGCTGGGCTTTGCCCCACACCAGCTTGCTGGTGGCTTTTCCTGGAGGAGCCAGTGCCTCTGCGCTGGGACAGGAGGACCGTCTGGGGCCCGCTGCCCTCTCTCTTTCTGGACCTCGCAGCCACCCCTGTGCTGACCACGGCGCCTGTCTTTGTGGGGAGCCGCTGCCTTTAACCCCCGCAGCTGCCCCTTTGTCACGGACCTTGGTCTCGACACCTCGTTTTCTTTACGTTTTTAATTGACGCATGGTAATTGTGCATATTTACTTGTACATGCTTATCAGGCACAGCGTGATGCTTGTTTTTTTCTTTTTAACATGTTTAAAGAGGTTTGTTTATTTATCTCAAAGGCACAGTGACAGAGATCTTGCATCCACTGGTTCACTCCAAATGCCTGCAACAGCCAGGGCTGGGCCAGGGAAGCCAGGAGCCTGGAACTCTGTGTGGATCTCCCACGTGGGTGCAGGGACCCAAGCACCTGGCCATCCTCTGCTGCCTTCCCAGGTGCATTAGCAGGGAGCTGGATCGGAGCTGGAACAACTGGGACCTGAACCTGCTCTCCAGTATGGGTCGCTGGTGTCGCCAGCGGCGGCCTCACCCACTGTCCCCAACTCCACCGGCTCCCCGTGGTATTTGGGAGCAGGTGTACAGCGTGTGATGGGCGTGTGTCCATCACCTCACAGAGTTCCTGTTTCTTTGTATTGGGAGCATTCACAGTCCTCTCTGCCAGCTGATCTGAAATGCACAGGGCGTTGTTAGCCACGGTTGTCCCACTGTGCTGTACAGCGTGAGAAGTAACTCCGGCTTCCCAGCCGCACCCCCGGCTCACAGCCCCTGCAGCCCCTGGGAGCCACTCTCTTGTCCTCTGCACGTCTGAGCTCGGTTCTCAGCCTGTGCGCGCAGGTGGGCTCCCGGTGCGCCTTGGGGCCTGCACTTGGCTCTCCTCCTCCCCGGGTCCCCCTTGGAGAGGTTTGCCACTGGGGCTTTGGTGACCGTCTCTGTAATCGCTCTCCAGCATCTGTCTCTGTGGTCCCAGACAGCCCTAGATGCCCTTGACATTTCTGTCTGGTGGATTCTGAGCACTGCATGTTCAGTGCGTGCCCCAGGGTCCCCACGTCCACCTGTGCTGCTCCAGCGGTCCCGCCTCTGCTCTGCCTGGGCCCCTTCCTGCCCTCCCATCTGCTTAGCAGGGCCAGATCCTTACTGCGGACCGTGACATTGGGGTGATCGGGCCTCCTGTGTCCCCACTGTCTCCTTGAACCACCACCTCCTCACCCCCGCCTCGGCCGCCCTGACGTCTCTCAGCGCCTCCGTGGGCTGTGCCCTCCCCTCCTCCCCTGCTGCATGGGCGCCTGCTTCTCTTTCAAGGCGCAGGGCGGCCTGGAGCCTCCTACCCTGCACACCCGCTCAGGCTCTCTGTCTCCCAGGCCGTCTTCTGGTGTGGTTTTTTAAAATTTTATTTATTTATTTGAGAGATAGAGTTACAGAGAGAGAGGGAGAGACAGAGAGAGGTCTTCCATCTGCTGGTTCACACCCTGAATGGCCACAACAGCCAGAGCTGCACCAGACCGAAGCCAGGAGCCAGAAGTTTCCTTCGGGCCTCCCACGCGGGTGCAGGGGCCCAAGGACTCTGGCCATCTTCCGCTGCTTTCCCGGGCACATGAGCAGGGAGCTGGATCGGCCAGCCCCAAGACCAGAGCTCTTTGTGGTGGGAACCAGATCCCGTTTGCACCCCACTGTGTCCCCAGGGGTTGCCACGCTTGGCCTGTGCGGGATGTTCAGGCAGTCTCTGTGCTGCGAACAAATGAACTGCAGCACGACCCGCCCCCCGGCCCCCACGGGTGTGATTTCTGACCCGCCCCCCGGCCCCCACGGGTGTGATCTCTGACCGCCCCCCGGCCCCACGGGTGTGATCTCTGACCCGTCCCCCGGCCCCACGGGTGTGATCTGACCCGCCCCCCGGCCCCCACAGGGTGTGATCTCTGACCCGCCCCCCCGGCCCCCACGGGTGTGATTTCTGACCCGGCCCCCACGGGTGTGATTTCTGACCCGCCCCCCGGCCCCCACGGGTGTGATTTCTGACCCGCCCCCCGGCCCCCACGGGTGTGATTTCTGACCGGCCCCCCGGCCCCCACGGGTGTGATTTCTGACCCGCCCCCCGGCCCTCCGGCCCCCACGGGTGTGATTTCTGACCCGCCCCCCGGCCCCCACGGGTGTGATTTCTGACCCGCCCCCCGGCCCCCACGGGTGTGATTTCTAACGGTGCCTGCCCTCTCTCTGTTCAGGTCAATGTCCCCCGGCGCCTGCCCTTCTCGGGAGTGGGGAAGGTGGAACAGGCCGCGTGTGGCGGCACGGGCTGTGCTGTGGTGAACGGTGAGGCCCTCATCCCAGCGGCTCGTGGGGAAGCGGCAGGAGGATCGGAGAGGGGAGGGATTGATGTCCGCTGGGCTTCCAGGCTCTGGACTTCGGCCTGGGAAGGGGCCTGGCCCGGGAAGAGCTGGTTGGACGGGCGAGGGTCAGATTCCTGCCACGGTGATGATAGCCCAGAACCCACAGGGCCCGGGTCACCGCAGAGCAGATCCCCGGAGTGGGGCGTGAACCACATCCTTCCCTCCCGTCGCCGCTGGGGCCAGACACCCTGGCTCTGCCGTCTCCAGCCAGCAAGTAAAAGGCAGCTGGGAGCAGAGCCCGCGAGCTTAGACAACACGGCCCCCGCCCCTGGCATGAGGCGTCTCGCACCACTGATGAGGAGTAAACTTTCAGAACCAAAAAACTGGCCCGAAGTGTTTGTGAACTTGGCGTGTTCTGATCAGTGTGAACCCTGGAGCTGCCAGCAGGGGGAGCTGTCTTCAGGTCCTCTGTTGACGTGGGCTTCTAGGGGGCCTCTATGGACCGTGTCCCCACCCTCCAGGTGTTGCGAGATCAGGCAGCTGGCTGGGCCTACTCCCCAGGCAAGCACCTAAGCAGGGGGTGGAGAATTATTTTAAGTCTCTGCCTATTTTTGCCCAGAGAGGAGAAAGCAAGGGCCACGCGCACGTCCTGCACGCAGGGGCGCAGTTTGGATTCTGGGGAGGGGCCCCGCCTGGTGTGTGACTTCCTGACCGTTGCTTGTGCCGTGACACAGGAGAAGGACGTGTGTTTGTCTGGGGCTATGGAATTCTTGGGAAAGGACCCAACCTGGTGGAAACCGCTCTTCCAGAAATGATCCCTCCCACCCTCTTCGGCCTGACGGAGTTCAGCCCTGAAGTCCGGATCTCCCAGGTCCGCTGTGGACTCAGCCACTTTGCTGCTCTCACCAGTAAGTACCCCAGCCTGGCCGGACCGTGGCCCGCCCCGCGGAGTGGGTCGTTCGGGAGGGTGGCCAGTCCCGGGCCTGCTGCGAGGGAGGCTGTACACCACGCGTCTCTCTCTCATCCTGGAATTTTGTCCTCCGTTCCTTTGGTTTGCGGTTCGGCGGACGTGAAAGTGAATTTTCTCGAGAGGGCACGGGCTGGTGGGAGGGGAAGGGGGCGGACAGCAGGGAACTGGAGGAAGCCCGCGGGCGTGCGGAGCTCAGCCCCATTCCTCGGCCCAGCCAAGACCCTGCTCTGACCCGGGAACGTGGGCTGGCCGGGGTGGGTTTATCAGCCCACGCTGTGGTTTGTGGGGGTGAATCTGCGGCTCCTCCAGAGTGCTGGGGGAGGCGAGACCAGAGAGGAGCCGACTTGGAGGCCTTGTCTGGGGCTCGCCGAATTCCAGAGCCGTGAAATCCGCGGTTCCTGCAGTGATGCCCCGCGCGCACGCTCTCGGGGTCGGCCACAGTTCCCGCCGGCTCAGGCTGGCCCGACAGTGGAACTGACCCGTTCACTTCACTTTGTGATCCTCAAGTAAACCAGTGGAGACGTCTTTTCAGCCCATGGTGAGGACCCCGTTTCTTCCTGGACAGTTGGGGTCGCCCGCGTTCGTGCTGCCCGGGCTTGTTCTCACATGGAGACTACCAGATGACCGCCTCCCGACCAGGGACCCGCTCACCCTTCTTTTTAAAGATTTATTTATTTATTTATTATTTTTTATTTATTTATTTTTTTTTTTGACAGGCAGAGTGGTCAGTGAGAGAGAGAGACAGAGAGAAAGGTCTTCCTTTGTTGTTGGTTCACCCTCCAATGGCCGCCGCGGCCGGCGCACTGCAGCCGGCACACCGCGCTGATCCAATGGCAGGAGCCAGGAGCCAGGTGCTTTTCCTGGTCTCCCATGGGGTGCAGGGCCCAAGCACTTGGGCCATCCTCTACTGCACTCCCTGGCCACAGCAGAGAGCTGGCCTGGAAGAGGGGCAACCGGGACAGAATCCGGCGCCCCAACCGGGACTAGAACCCGGTGTGCCGGCGCCGCTAGGCGGAGGATTAGCCTAGTGAGCCACGGCGCCGGCCAAGATTTATTTATTTATTTGAAATGCAGAATTAGAGAGATGGGGAGAGACAGAGAGAGAGGTCTTCGAGTCACTGGTTCACACCCCAAAGGACCACAATGGTCGGAACTGGGTCGATCTGAAGCCAGGAGATTCTTCCTGGTCTCCCACGTGGGTGCAGGGACCCAAGGACTTGGGCCATCTTCTACTGCTTTCCCAGGCCGTAGCAGAGAGCTGGATCGGAAGTGGAGCAGCCGGGACTCGAACCAGCACCTATATGGGATGCTGGCACCACAGGCAGAAGCTTACCCTACCGCGCCACAGCGCTGGTCGCCCCGTCCACCCTTCAGCTCTTGGCCGAGTTGCAGATTTCAGGGCCCTGAGTGCGCGCTGGCTGCGGCATGGACTGCGGAGTTTTCTCTGTCTCCCTGCAGAGGAGCGCTGGGGGCAGCCATGATGGCCACTGCCCAGCCAGGCTCGCTGTTGTCATTTGCAGATGAGTCTGGGTCTTGTGGCCTTTTTGGTTTATTATTTATTTTCATTTTATTTGAAAGGTAAAGAATGAGAGAGACACAGAGAGAGAGAGTTTTTTCATCTACTGATTCACTCCCCAAATGCTCGTAACAGCCTGGGCTGGACCAGACCAAAGACAGGAGCCTGGAGCTCAATCCAGGTCTCCCATGTGGGTGACGGAGACCCGGGTGCTGAGCCGTCGCCTCTGCCTCTCAGGGTGCGCATTAGCAGGAAGCTGGATTGGGAGTGGAGCAGCCAGGACTCCAAGCAGGCAGTGCCAGGCAGCCTCATGCCCACCCCACTGTGCACTGTCACAGCGATTTTGATTTAACCAATGAGAGTCCTATGCACTAATTCTGAGCACAACAAATACCTGCTTTTCCAGAATGTTCTAAAAGGCTGAACCATGCGCAGTCAGAATTTGAAAGTGCACGTGGAGAGTCTGACGCGAGTGGAGTCTGCTCTCTGCCTCACACCTCGCAGTCCCTGCCTCGATGCCCGCCAAGCCCCAACACCCACCCCTTCAGTGCAAGGGACCGTCCCTCGGGGTAGGAGCCCCAGCTGTGGGTGTCCCCTGCGTGTGTGCCTGGCACGTGCAGACGGACGCCTGCGGACAGAGCTGGTCCATGTGGCTGGGGGCTGCTGTCCTTTCTGACCGATGTGAGCTGGGTCAGACCAGAGGGGCTGTGACCCTCGTGACAGACAGGGCTCCCCATGAAGGCAGCCCAGTTGATCCCCCTACTTGCCACACCCCAGACAGTGGGTGCTGAGCGGGAGAATCTGCCAAGGGGTACCTGAGCTGCAGCAGGCGGGAGTCTGACCTGGAGCCCCCCGGACCCCTCCCTGGAGCCAGGCATCTCAGAGCCCCAGCCTGGTCTCCCGGGCGAGCCTCTTGGGCTGCCCCGCCCTTTCTCTTCGGGGCACATTTTACAGTTTGTGCACACGGCTTACTGGTTCCATCATTTAGTCTTCTCTAGCTCTGGGACTAGGTCAAGTGCCGTGGGGTCACGGACCATGTGTGTCCAGTTGTTGTCCTGTCTCTAGAGGGCTCCCAGCACAGACGTGGGCTTGGCACAAACAGGCCCCGGGAACCCCGCCAACGTGACTGCAGGGCCTGCGGCAAGGAAACCCAAACCGCCGAAGACGGATCGTCCCACTCGGCACTGGCAGGGCAGAGCCAGGGTTTGGGGAGGGCAGAGTGTGGCTGCCACTGTGGGTGGGGGCACCCCTGGGCGAGCCAAGTGCCCCCCATGGTCCTGGCTCTGTGTGCCCAGCGGGGCTGGGCAGCACACGTCCTGGGCTTGCACTGTATGAGGACAGTGTCGAAGTCTCGCCTTCCCCGTCCCGGGAGCGCATCTGTGCCTGGCAGGTTGGACGGCGGGCTCCGTGCGTGCCTGGACCTGGAAGGCTGTACTCACGGCCGTACCCCGGACACCCGCTCTCCCCCTCGCCGCCGCCAAGCCACTGCCCTCTTTTCTTTGCAGACAAGGGGGAACTGTTTGTGTGGGGCAAGAACGTCCGAGGGTGCCTGGGCATCGGCCGCCTGGAGGACCAGTATTTCCCGTGGAGGGTAAGGCGGGGCCGGGCGGGCCGCGGGAGAGAAGACAGGCTCGCTGCCTGTCGCCCGGAGGAGATGAGGGGCAGCCCGGCCGTGGCGCAGATGCGGCCCTGCCTTCCACCTGGTGGGCGTTTACCAGGGAAGCGCGCCTTGGTGGAGGCAGGTGATCCTGAGCCGACTGTGCTGCCGTTCAGGCTGCTGAGAGCGGGAACCCAGGGCGGCCTGCTCCGGGACTCAGTGCAGAGCCTGCTCGCCGCTGGCTGGGGGTGGAGGAGCTGCAGCCTCGGGATCGCATCCTGGCCAGGAAGCCCGGGCCGGGTGGGTTACTCTGCCGGCGCACGCGGGAGCGAGCACGGGGCGCCCGGGGCTGCAGATTAGCGAGGAGAGGGCACCTGTGTGGGAAAGGGCACCAGGCACTCCTAATGGCCTGGGCGGGTTGCTAAGAGCCCATCCACGCCTGGTTACCTGGAGGCGGCACGTTTTCCTGTCTGCCCCCGGCCTTGGGCGGCTTTGCGCTGTTTGCTGAGCCACTGCCGAGGGCGGTTGCCTGGGGCCACGGGAGGACAGCGTGCTCGGTTCTGGCAGCCCTGATGGTCTGTGCTGTCTGGCTAAGGCGTTGCCCCCCCCCCCCCCCCCCGCCCAGGGGTGCTTAGCACCTGCCACGGGCTACAGGGCCCCTCCCCACTGTCCAAGTGCCGGATTCCGGTCTGGGCAGTAGAGCAGGCGTCGGCGTCCTGGCCGGGGTCTGAGGGTGAGCCACGTGTGGGCTTCCCTGGGGTCCTCACGGGACCTGCACCTGCACCTCTCCAAGGACAAGGAAAAGCCGATCAAAAAAGAGTCTCCGGGGAGGGTACTGGGTGCCCATGCCCTCAGCAGGTGCCTCGGGGCCAGTCCGGCGCCACTGTTCACTGTAGCCTCCTGCTGATGTGCACCCTGGGAGGCGGCCCGGGTGGAGCTCCCGGCTCCTGACTTCAGCCTGGCCCAGCCCCAGCTACTGTGGCCACTGAGGAGACCTCTCTCCCTCTCTGTGACTCTGCCTTTCAAATAAATCACCTTTTTTTTTTTTTTTTTTAAGATTTATTTATTTATTTGAAAGGCAGAGTTACACAGAGAGAAGGAGAGGTAAAGAGAGACAGAGAGACAGAGGTCTTCCATTTGCTGGTTCGCTCCCCAAATGGCTGCAACAACCGGAGCTGAACTGATCCAGAGCCAGAAGCTTCTTCTGGGTCTCCCACGCAGGTGCAGGGGCCCAAGGACTTGGTTCATCTTCCACTGCTTTCCCAGCCCACAGCAGAGAGCTGGATCGGAAGTAGAGCAGCCGGGACTTGAACTGGCCCCCATAAACAAATCTTTAAAAAAAAAAAAAAAGATGAAGAAGATGGCCATTATCCACGGCTTTCCTAGGCACATAGCAGGGAGCTGGATCCAAAGCGGAGCAGCCAGGACTCAGACTGGAACCCATATGGGATGCCGGCGTCACAGGCGGTGACTTAACCCGCTGCACCACAGTGCCGCGAAGCTGCCCTGAGGGTTGGGTCTCCCTCGGGGACATGCTGTCATCATCAGCTTTGCGGCCAGGCCCTGCTGTCCTCCCCGAGGCCGGTCGTGACCTTGGACACAGCCTCCAGGGTCAGCCTGGGGTCACCAGGGAAAGTGACTGAAGCCACTGCGGGCCCAGGTCCCAAACCACGCCCACAAGGCGGGAAGCAGAAAGGCTTCTTGAGCCACTCCAGGGAGCCATGGCGGCGACCCTGGGAAAGGCCAGGCTCCCGTGTTGCAGGCAGGGAGCCGAGTCTGTGCCGGGCCATGTTCCAGACACGCCCACTGCTCCGAGCCCTGCTCCGCAGCACGGGCTGCGTTGGTTGCAGCGAGCTGGCGTGATCCCTTACCAGCTAGGCAAGGTGCGAGCGTCCCCACATCCGGGGGTCGCCTGCAAAGAGGCAGAGCGGGCAGGGCCGACGCGCAGCCTGCCTGTGTCCCAGCCGTTCCCCCTCACACGCATGGGGCCTTGTGTTTCAGGTGACGATGCCTGGGGAGCCCGTGGCCGTGGCCTGCGGTGTGGATCACACGGTGACTCTGGCCAAGTCGTTCGTCTGAGTCTCCTGCCTGGTCCTGAGCTCCGGGTCAGCAGCCGCGGGTCTTCCATGCCAGCCACGGAGGATCGGGGCAGCCGTGCCCCAGCAAGGGTGAGGAGACTCCGCACGGCTCTGCTCTCTGGGGGACCTGGGACGGCTTCCGGCGTCACGTGCAGCCCGAGACAGTGGTCTTAGGGAGGCCAGAGGTGACCTGACAGGTGGTGCTCGGGGCCTTCCGCTCCCTGCGGCTGCCTCGGGCCAGGCTGGCTCGGGGCTGCGGCTTTCCTCCTACTCAGCCGCCCCTGCTCGGCGGCCACACCGCAGGCTTGCTGCTGGGACACTGGCTTGGACGGGGGTTCCGTGTGGGGCCGGTAGTGCGCGCCAGCCCCGAGCGGCCGCTCCCACCGTCTGACTTGGCAGCGTGGAGAAGCCCCCACAGGGAACGAGTGGGCCCAGTGTCGTGGGCGGAGCCCTGGGCACACCTGCAGAGGCTGGCTGGAGCGCCGGCCTGGGAGGCAGAAGACCCAGAAATCGCAGTGTCTGATGTAGGCCCAGCTCGTCTCTTTCCTTTGCAAACAGCCTTTAAACATGTCTTTTGGAATAAAGTATTTTCTGCCTTTCTTGTTTTTAAGAACCGAAGGTCTTTTTTTTTCCCCCTTGATAATTTGGAGATTAACCTTTAAAAATAAGGCTTTTGATAAAGACGCAAAAAAGCCAGCGAAAACCACTCTAGCAGACGGCGTTTCTCTGGTCGGACCCTGCTCCCTGGGTGCAGTGGGGAGACAGCCGGCACCCGCACCCCGGCCAGCACCGCACGCCTCTCGGTCACTCAGCAAACACCGGGGCCACGTGGGCTGTGGGGAAAGCTGGAGAGGCGGGCTGGGGGCAGCGGGGTGCTGGGAAGGCTGCGTCTGAGAACCACTTTGGTCTTGCCCTGAGCCCCTCGGCAGAGCCACCTGATTCCCTGTCAGACTGCGTCCCCTTCTCTGTTCTCAGGCAGAGACCTGGAACTTCCACCTGCTGGTTCACTCCCCAAATGTCAGTGCCCTCCACAGCCAGGACTGGGCCAGACGAAAGCCTGGAGCCCGGAACTCCATCCAGGCCTCCCATGTGGGTGGCAGGGACCCAAGGACTTGAGCTGGCACCTGCTGCCTCCCGGGGTGTGCGTCAGTTCATTGCTGTGCCCTGAGGCTGTAAGGACCAGTTGGGTGTCCAGGGGGAGACTTCAGAGCAAACGAGAGATTTTCCACTCCCCGAACGCTCACAGCCAGCACCACGCCAGGGGGAAGCCAGGAGGCTGGAACTCCGTCCAGGTTCCCCGTGTAGGTGGCAGGGGCCCGAGGACTTGGGCCATCTTCTGCTTCCTCCTAGGGTGCGTTAGCAGGGAGCTGGATGCAAAGCCAAGCAGCCAGCACTCCAGCCAGCACTCCAGTATGGAACGCAGCTGTCCCACGTGGAGGCCTAACCTGCTGCACCCCAACACGCTGGGAATGGCCCTTTAGTGCAGTCTCAAGGGACCCTCACTGAGCCGTGAAGATCATTCGTAGGTATTTAAAAATTTTTTTTCCTATAAACTTGAAGATTATATGTGTCCTTTTCTTTCGCATTTGGGCCACATCTGAGGTCACCATCGCAGTGTCAGGTGAAGAGGGTGTACTGATAGGCGCTCAGTGCCTAGGGGGCCAAGGTCTGGTTCACGCCAGCTGGCGTTTGCTGTGGGTGGCACAAGATGTCTGTCAAAGCTAGGGGGTGGGTTTATAAACCTTCCCCCCAGAATGGCAGCTGAGATGCAGCTCCAGGAACAAACTTGACCTTGGATGTAGCGGCCCGTGTATATTAAGAGATGCCCTTTTCCCAACCAGGGCTTCCTTGGTGGGGCTTTCTGTGGGTCCCTGGGGTGCCCCTGCCATGGACCAGACCCCCTCCCCATTTGCATTCCCCAGCCCCTGCTGCATTTGGACGAGGGCACACATTGGTTGTGGTGCCACGAGTGATTGGTTAGCTGGGTGGCCACAAGTGATCCCCCGGGAAAAATGAGCCTGAGCAGGCTGCAGCCTCCCCTCGCTGTACTGAGCATGTGACTGGCGCCCTGCGTGCAGGTGGCTCACTCTCTCGCTCTCTGTCGTAAATTGGTTTGTTTTGAAAGAGTTACAGAGGAGAGGACAGAGAGGTCTTCCGTCTGCTGATTCACTCCCCCATGGCCACAGCAGCTAGGCCCGGGCCATGCCGAAGCCAGGAGCAAGGAGCTTCACCCGGGTCTCCCACGTGGGTGCAGGGACCCAAGCACCTGGGCCATCTTCCACTGCCTTCCCAGGTGCATTAGCAGGGAGCTGGATCGGAAGTGGAGCAGCTGGGACTTGAACAAGAGCTCCGAATGGGATGCCGGTATCACAGGTAGCGGCTTTACCTGCTGCGCCACCATGCCTGCCTGGAGTCTGCTTCTTGAAGTCTACCACCCAGCCAGTCGGGCACTGTCTAGTCCCGGAGCACAGCACCCCCTAGTGGTCGGCACCCTAATGGCTCCTTCCTAGATCTCCACATCTGGGTGCAGGGGCTGTGGCAGTCCCCTGGCTCCCTAGCTCCCAGCACACCTGGATATGCACAGTGGAAAACTGGGGGGTGGCCACTGGTGGCTTTGGAGCCGTTTTGAGAGTCCGGATGCAATCATTCGAGGGTCCCCGTGGATGTCCTGGCTCCAGGGGGACTGAAGGGGACAGCCTTGTCACAGGCCCAAGAAAAGCCCTCAAAGTGGCCAGGGCACTCCGGCCTGGGGCTGGGGCTGGCCAGGGTCTGCTCAGCCTCTACTTTGAGCGCTCTGCATCTCCAGGGCTCCCTTTCCCGAGGGTCCCGGGTGAGGTGTGGGGGCGGGGCCATGTGCAGGTTCAGGTCTTGCTCTCACCTGCCCTCCATGGAGAGTATCAGAGGGGGTACAGGGTGAAGGCTGCCCCAGCTCCACACCCTCCTGGTCTCAGACCCATCTTCTTGCCTGGGCAGCCGCAGTGCGCCACCTCCCCAGGTGAACCCCAAACCGGAGCACTTAGGGAAGGGATGTAGGGTGCTGGAGTGTGCGTCCCGGGACTCCGGTGCTGGAAGCCTAGTGAGGTCTGGAATAAGTGGGGCCCAGTGGGAGGTGGTCAGGTCTCTGGGGGTGCCCTTGGTAGGGTTCACGCTGGCTTCCTGTGACATGGAATGTGACAGAGCAAGGCTGGCCCCTGAATCTCTCCTTGTGATCGCTCCTACTCACATGTGCCCCCACCACAGTGCCTCCCACCAGGCTGGGGAGCAGCCAGAAGACCCTCACCAGAGTCCAGAAGATACGGCTGCTTGCCCCAGGCCTCCCGCCTGCAAGATTAGAACCCCCGTGAGCCTCTTCTCTTTATGAAGTCCCTGGCCTCGGTAACACAAGGTGCACCTGTCCATTGGGCAGGTCTGCTCTGGGCTTCTGCCCACAGCAGGGCCTGGCTCCAGCCTCAGGCCCTTGCCCAACTCCAGAGGTCTGGGAGGAGCAGCCAGTCCCCAGAGATGGTCCCCTGCTGCTTCCCACCTCCTTCATGAACCTTCCTCCCCATGCCAAACCAGGGCCGGGCCACAGAGCAGGGTGGACGCCATGGAGACACCTGAGGCTCAGGACACAGCTGGTGCAGCCTTGGGCCCTTGAATCCCCGGCTCCAGAGGCGCCATACTGGGAGGAGACCCACAGAGGGAGGAACAGAGCCCTGCAGCCAACAGCCAGGCCAGGCTGCCAGCTGTGTGCGTGACCATGGCACACGCAGCCCTCAGCCCAGTGCTAGGGTCTGAGCGTGTCTCCTACAGGTCCATGGGATAGAGGCTTTTAGAGGCGGGGTCAGGTTCTTGCAGACCCCAGTCGGCTCCCCCAGAGCCTGGCTCCCTGCCTCCTCGGGTGCCCCACACGGCGCTGCCTGTCCCGGGAGCTGTTCCTGGGGTGCAGGGTGAGTGTCCACGACCACACCCCCGGGCTGTGTCCCCCCAGTACTGAGTCAGGGAGCGAGATGGCGGGGGGTGGGTCCGGACACATGCACGCAGATTCAGACAGCCACTGGGCAACACCATGCCTTTTTCGTCTTCATTTTAATGAACACTTTACAAAGTACAAAATATACTGTCTTTTTTTTGGGGGGGGGGGACATTAGGTATTTTTTTCCTCTCCATCATACAGTACATGAGTCTAGAGGGTCTGTGGGCGGGCCCGCCAGTTCTCCCCCAACCCGCCCCCCCACCGTGGGCGCATCCTCTGTTGCTGGTGACCTGGGCACGGCAGGTGGGGCAAAGGCCGGAAGGGCGTGGCCAGGAGGTGCCCCGCCTCCCCCCCCCAAGACGACTTCCACTTCCGGGGCAAGACACAGGCCTCCCCACCCCCCAAGTGCACTGACCACCCCCTGCTCCTCCACCTCGGGGTAACGGAAATGATTTTGGCATACAGCAACAAGAGGAGGGCTCGGGATGGTTTGGTTTTGTTTTTTGGAGCCAACCCTGCTCAACTCTCTGTGGCCCGTTTCTGAATATGGGTAAACCGAGGCAGCAGAGGGGAACTTGGCCTTTTCATTCTACCCCTACTGGGGTCTGCACCTTTGCTGGCCCGGCCCTGCTGGCGAGGTGGCAACCCCGCCCCACGACCTTGCTCTTCAGGACCCGGGCTCTGGAACAGGGCACGTGGGCAGGCAGGCCTGGCACTGGGGAGCCACAGCCCTGCTGGGCACAGCTCTGCTTCCACCTCTAGGGTCTCCACCCACCACACTCCAGCCTGCGCCCCCACCCCACCCCCTCAACCACCACTGTACTGAGCGAGCCTGGCCCTTAGCTCAGGTGCAAGTTCACGCAAGCACACATGTGCTCTCTCGCTCGCTCTCTCTCACACACACACACACACACATGCTCACACACACCCGCGTTTTTCTAAACATGCACAGAACAGTGTCCTGCCCCTCGCGGGGGACAAGGACCACCTGCACCCACGGCTCCTGCATTCGCCTGTCCACTTACACCAAGCGCCACAGACCCCCGTGGGTGCCCCAGCCCCCGGTGAGGGCTGCCCTCGGCCCCACCTCCCCACCAAGGCGGCCACCTCCCCAGGGGGACCTGGAGGGAGAGTCCCGCTTGTCCTGGTTTGACAACGAAAGAAAAAAGGCTGGGGTGGGCTTCGAGACACAGGAAAAAGGCTGGGCTCCCCTCGCCCCAGCCGCCCACTCCCTCCCAGACCAGCTGTGAGCGAACCCCCGCTTTGGAAAGCCCCCCTCACCAGGCTCTGCTCCCCAAGCCACCCCAGACCCTAGTACATGCTCTGCTGTACCCCCTGCCTGGCCCCCGTGGCCACATCTGGAGGCTCAGCAAGGTGGCCCGGGGCTCCTCTGGGGGTGGGGGGTGTGCTGGGGAGGTTCATTTCCAAGAGCATGCATCAGGCAGAGGGGACCCTCGCTGGGACGGGGAACAAGCCCCACCAGTCCAAGTCTCCCCAGCTGGTCACTGTGTGGGGCCAGGCTGCCGCAGGCCAGGGAGGTGACAAATGCTGCTGGTTTGGGAGGCTCCAGGGCCCCCCATGAATGTTGGGGAGCAGAGGCTCCTCCAGCCCCGGGGCCCCCGGCCTCCCCAGCGCTGCCCTGTGCCCTGAACTGAGGGCAGCAGCATGGGCTGTGCCTTTCGGAGGCTCTGGAGGTCTCCCTGGAGGAAGGGTCCATGCCAGAACCTTTGCCGGGTCAGGCCTGGGAGCTAGGGGAGCCCCGTGCAGAGGGCTGAGCGGGAGGGGGTCTTGATCACTGGGAGAGGGGGGTCGATGCCCTTTCTGCAGTGTGCAGGGATGGAGCGGGTGAGGGTGAGGGTGGAGCTTAGACCCCTGCAGCTCAGGGAGCAGCTCCCGGCTCAGCCTGCCCTGCCCCTGCAGACTCAATGGGGGGGGGGGGTCCCATTTCCTGCCCCTCCCCAATTCCTCACCAGCCAGAGCCAGGAGTCTTACAGGCCCCCTCTGAGGCTGGGGCAGGGCCAGGCGTCCTCCGAGGGGGAGCTGGAGAGACCCTCTCACGTAACAAGCTAGGAGATGGCAGGTGGTACGGGAATAGGACAAGGGCAGCCGGCCACTGGGACAGCCACTGACCACCGCCTGCCCCGACTTCCTCCTAAGTGCCGCAGAGCCCACAGCGGGACCACGCTACACAAAGGACATGGAGAAGAGGACGAAGCCAGCTTTCACACAACCAGGAGGAGGGCACGGGAAGAGCTTGGGGTACACTGTGGCCAAGAAGTGGGGTCCCCAGGGGCGGCGGCTCCCCCCAAGGAGGCCGGAGCATGGTGCTCTCATGCCACGCCCCCTCCCAGACACAACATCAAGGTCACGCGTGCCTTTCTCGGCCAGTCCCCAGGAGACCTGGGAGGAGAACCTGAGGTTTCTAAGCTTGCAGGTTTAAAAAAAAAAAGAAAAGAAAAAAACCCCCAAAACGATGCACAGCCAGCATCAGGGTCAGCAGGTGAAGCGGGGTCCCTGACCGAGGGCGGGGGTGGGGGCTGCTCTGTGTGCAAGGGAAAACTTCCAACCGCTCCTCTCTCGGGACCAACTCCGCCTCCGACCAAAGGCCTTGGCTGGGGAGTGGGGGTACGAGACCCACGACCCAGAGCACGGCGGGTCCCGGATGCTGGCTCCTGGGTTTGCTGGTTTTGTTTTCTCTCCGGTCAGGTCGCAGGGACCCTCTGGGGTTCTCTAGTCATCGTATTGCCTATATACTTGAATGAAAAATAGACGGCAGCTCAAAATCGTGCCTGTGTGCACGGCGGAGACCACGGGCGGGGGCCCCGGCCCACCCCCACGCGCGCACACAGTATATATTAACGTATATATTGCTCAAGTATATATGCTATTTACAGTATAGAGCTCTATCAACATAAAACACAGGTATTCATAGGCGCGTACAAGGGACAGGTCCTAGGAGGTCTAGGGACACGTGACGGGGTGGGGGGAGGGCAGGGGGGCGGGGCCCGGGGCTGCCCGGGGCTGGATGGGGCTGGGAGAGCCACACTACGGGCACCCCAGGCCTTCCGAGGTCAAGAGAGGGGGCTCCCGCCACTGCCAGGGCTCACTCGGCCACCTCTGGGGACCGGCAGACAACGGACAAGATTTGGTTTGTTTTGGGAGCTTTTGTGCAAAATGAATTAACTCAGAGTAAAAGGGGGAGTTCCTAACGAGTGGGGTGGGTCCTGTGCAGTCCCAGGGAACCTAATGGACAGCCCCTCCTGCTGTCCCACCCAGCTGGGAAGAGGGGACAGCGGGGCCCACGGGAGCCCCTCGCGAGGACAGGCCAACACTCCCTCCCCTCTGACCTTCCGGAAAGAGCACAACCCAGCTCACCCCACACAGCAAGATCCTCGCAGGCTCCCCGGGCCCAGCGCACACAGCAGCTCCCGGTCCTCCTGGACAAGAGCCCCCGCCCCTCGCGGGCTGCCACCTGCTGCCCACCTCTGGGCTGGCCCCCGGGATGCCCGGATACAACCAGGCTGGCTCGGGAGGTCCCGTGAGAGCCACCCCCTTGCCTCCAGGGCATTGTGGGATCTGCACCAGATCCCTGCTCCCAGCTGCCACGCACAAAGGAGGGCAACACGGAGCTCCGGGGGGGGGGGGGGGGCCCTGGCTGAAGACCTCAGCTTGGCCTCATCTCTCGATTTCAACAGCAGCCCGGGCGCAAATACATTAAATAAGAACTAAAACAAAGCACGGTTTCATCTATTAAGGCTCAGTTAAGCTGCCTCCCAGGTCAAGCCAGTCCTGAGTGCCCACAGCCCTGGGCGGTGGGGCAGGCAGGCAGGGGCGCAGAGACCTTCCATGTCCCCTGGGAGTGGGGCAGGACCACGGCGGGAGCCCCGTGCTGGTCTAGGTCTGGGGTGCTGGGGACGCCCCTGCTGGGGGGAAACTGAGGCTGTGCCTGCCCGAGGAGGGGCTGGGGGGAGCAGAGGACACAGGAGCTGGTGCTCCAGGCTGGTGGGTCTCCTGGGGTTCCTTCCTCCCCGCTGGGCGAGGGGCCACACAGGGTCCCTCTGCACAGTCTTGCTGGCCGCCTCCCTAGCTCAAGCCCCGCCGTACGTGCGCACGCGTCCCAGGGAGCCGGCCCTGAGCTGACGGATCCCAAGGCTGCTGAGGGGGGCCTCAGGGGGACTCCGGGGGCTCCCACACTCAGCCCCCCAGGGCGCCGCAGCGTCTCCATCAGCTTCCTTCTTTCCGGGCCGCGTGAGAAGGCGGAGGCGATCCCAGCTCCTTGCCCCCCCAGCTTGTCTTCTGCGGGTGGGGCTGTGGGCAGGGGCGGGTCGTGGCTGGGGGGGCCAGGGGGCTCGGGGAAGGCAGGAAGGGGGGCCTGGGAGAGGCCCTGGCGTGGGCCCCAGTGTGGGGAGGGAGGGGGTGTCCCAGAGGCCTCTGCTTCGGGGTCTCGGAGGCCGTTTTTCCAGTCCGTGGAGAAATACTGCGAGAACAATCTTGGGGTGGGGGCCGGGCCCGGCGCAGGGAAAGGCCCTCCTAGTGCTTGGCGGCCTGACTGACCTGCAGGGCACTGATGACGCCACTGATGTTCTCTTCTGGAACCTGCGTGGGGCAGGAGGCACAAGCCCACGCCTGAGCCCCGACCCCCGAGGCCCCTCCCTGCCCTCTCCAGTGAGCCCGGCCCTGCCCCAGCCCCTCCAGTGAGCCTGGGCCCTCCATAAGCCCCGCCCACCCAGCCCCACCCCTCTCCATGAGCCCCGCCCCGCCCCAGCCCCTCCAGTGAGCCTGGGCCCTCCATAAGCCCCGCCCACCCAGCCCCACCCCTCTCCATGAGCCCCGCCCTGCCCCAGCCCCTCCAGTGAGCCTGGGCCCTCCATAAGCCCCGCCCACCCAGCCCCACCCCTCTCCATAAGCCCCGCCCTGCCCCAGCCCCTCCAGTGAGCCCGGGGCCCTCCATAAGCCCCGCCCCCAGCCCCGCCCACCCCCACGAGCCAACCCCCCCCCACCGGGCGCGCACCCGCACTCACCAGCGCGTGGTCAAACTTGAAGGTACTGATGTAGTAGGCAGGAATGTCGGCCGCAGCCAGGGGCTCGGAGATCTGGGCCACGATGCCGCACTCATCTAGGGCACGGGGCACGGGGCACGGGGCACGGGGCGCGCTCAGACTCTGCAGCAGGCCCGCACAGCCTGCCCTCCCCCTGCAGGCTCAGCTCCCCAGGCCCTCCGCCCAGGAGCCCAGGAGCCCCCTAGGCCTCCCTCCCCGGTCCGGGGCTCCCGCGGGGCTCACCGAATCCCAGCGGCTGCCCTCCGATGCGCACCATCTTCCACAGCTCCCGGGATGCGCTGGTGAACAGCAAGTTGCCGGGAAACCTGCGGGGGTGAGAGAGGGGTGTCCCAGGCTGCCCCCAAGCCCCCCCAGAAAGCACCCCCGAGAGGGAGGGGGCCCAGACTTCCAGGCAGCACCTGCTGCTGGCAACCCTGACCCACTGGCCGCGCGGCCTCCTCCTCCAGGGGGCAGGGCTGCAGGGCTGGGCCGCTCACCTGCAAGGAAGGGGCCACAGTGGGGGCCTGCCCGCCCCCCTGTCCTGGGCTGAGCCCCCAGCTCACCTCTGCTGTGTCTGAACGTCCATCACCAGGGAGATGTAGCCCTCGATGAGGGAGAAGGAGAAGAAGCGGATGTGGCCACAGTCGTCCCCGCTGGCCGCCATGGGGTCCTTCACTCTGGGGGGGAGGGAGCAGTGAGAGCGGGGCCCGAGGCGCCCTTGCCCCGCCGTGCGTCAGGAAGTCGGCCCAGGCCCGGGCTCTGATGCCACCTGGCTAAGCCAGCCTGAAGCCTTGGGTGTCCTCAGCCGTGTGGTTTGGGGATGATTCCATGGCATTCATGGGGGCGGGCACCCCACTTCACAGTGTGGCACACCCTGCCAGCCCTCCATCACGGCCATGTGTGCCCTTGCTGAGCCGCCGTCCCTATCCCTGTGTCTGCCCGTACCTCAGGGCACAGGCTGGGGTCGCTGCCAACCCACTGGACTCTGCCAGCCCCAGCTGCTCTTAGCTGGGATGGGGCGGGGAGAGCCCGGCTGTGGGCTCCTCAGCTGAGGGTCAGCCCCTGGAGCCTGGGGCTCCGCCCTCAGACTCTCAGACCGGAGCTCTGAGACAGACGCACGTCTCCTCTCGCCCCCCCCCCCCCAGCAACCCTCGCACCCAACGAGGCCCCTACCCATTGGAGTAGAACATGACGTCCATGAGGAGGGTGGCCACAGTGGGCAACGTGTCAGGGTCCAGGCTGGTCACACAGAACCTGTTGCTTGGGCTTGACAGTGGGTGGATGACCGGCCTCTGGACTGTGGGAGAGAAAAGGGATGTTACAGCCGGGACAGCATGGGACAGCCTAGGAAGAGGCCTGGGTTCACTCAGCGGCTGTCCCAGATGTAGGCTTCTCAGCTTCCACTACCATCTATGGCGCTCAGGATTGTCCACCTGGGGTCCCCGGGCCTTTGCACATGCCGTGCTGGCTGCTTGGACCTCCATCCCTGGCAGACAGCGGCAGACGGCTGCACAGGTCAGCGGCCGGAAGCCCACGCTCTCTGAGAAGGGGACTGCCTGGGGCGGGACCTGCTGGCTTCCTGGGGCCTCTCCTGCACAAGCCCCTCCCGCCCCCAGCTCACCCATCTTGGGCTTCACGAAGCCGTTGGTGATGCCCAGGTTCTCGGCCGCCACTGTCTCGCCATTGACGACCCTCAGGATAGTGAACTCGGACGACAAGGTGTGGGTGACGAAGGGCAGGTCTCGCTCGCGTACCTGCGTGCGGGGGTGGGGTGGGGTGGGGTGTGAATGCCGGGGCAGGGCCTGGGGCGGGTGGGGCTGGGAGGCGGCGGGAGTGGCGGGCTCACCAGGATGAAGTCCGTCTGGTAGGTGGACAGCATAAACACCGAGATGTTCTGATCGGCCAGTGGGGCGATGACTGACTTGGCGATCTTGGTCACGCCGATAGGCTGGGAGCTGGAGAAGCTGCCGCCACCGGACACTACGTTCAGGGCCAGCCAGGTAGCATCGGCCACGCTCAGGTGCTCTGAGGAGGGCAGCTCTGCGGGGCGGGAGACAGAAGGCAGCCCTGTGGCTGGTGGAGTCCCGGGCGTCCCCAGCGGAGGCCCGGGCTGTGTGACCCTGGCCAATCCACTCTGGGTCTCAGTGCTGCCATTGGGCTCACGGGACCAGACTTGCTGCAAAGCCCCACCCACCGCCCCTGCTGGGAGGCCGAGCAGGGAAGGCTGTGGATCTCGTGGGAAGTGGTTTATCTACACCGAACCTCAGCTTCCTGAGCTGTAAACCGATGGCAGTCGCCAGCGCTCTGACTTCTTCCTTCTCACAACCCTCACAGGCGCTGCCATCACCCGCACCGGGCCACATGCGCCGGCCCTGTGGTTTGCAAACTGAGCTCCTGGGGCCCTCCCGCGGGAGTGCTGGGTGGTGGCAGCAAAGCCAGGACAAAGACAGGTTGGGGGGGCCCTGGGGTTTCCCTCCACGATGCTGCCAGACCTGATACAGCCACGGCCTGCCCCCCGCAGCCCCCCCCGCATGTGGGACATGATACACGCGTGTGCACATGTCCCCAAAGACACAAGCATGAGTGCAGGGTGCACACGGGACTCCCTTGCATACACACATCCTGTGCCAGGCCCAGAGTGGGGCGGGGAGCAGGGTCCAGGGGGGAGGCAGAACGACACTCCCTTGGGTGTACACAGGCATCCTGGAGCCAGCAAAGGGGACTGGTGACAGGGCCCAAGGTCATGTACAACCAGGACCCAAACCCGAGTCTGACTGCAAAGCCCAAGTTCCAGCCTGAGCAGCAAATGGGCAAGAAGTCAGACCACTTTGAGAAGACCTGGGCAAAGGAGAGGGACTGGAGACTGGCGAGTTGACGGGGCCATTGAGGGGCTGTGCCTGCAAGGTGGCTCTGGGGGACGGGAGGTGGACAGAGGAACCAGCCAGGCTCCCTGCCGCCCAGCTCTGGTCGCCACGGTGGCTGCAGCCTTGGGAGCCCCCTCGGTCCTGCTGGCCCAGGGGTGGCTGCACAGCAGAGGGGCACTCACTGCTTGATGGGCTGGCAAGGCCCTCGTTCTGGGGCTCCCTTGGCTGTCCGCTCCCCAGGCAGCAGCCTCAGGAGAGGAGAACGCCCAAGTGCCCTTTGGATTCTAAAGCTCTAAGCGGGGGCTGTTCCTGGACTGCAGGGCACTGTGTGTGGGTGGCCCTGTGAGCCCCCTTTTGTCTGCCTGTGAGTTGAACAAGGAGCCGCCGAGACCCTGACCGTGAGCCGTGGAGGTGGCTACCCCAGCCCAGGCACCGACTCCAGGCATCTCTGACCATGCACCAAGCCCCTATAGCCTTTTTTTTTTTTTTTCCTTTTTAAAGATTCATTTTATTTATTTGAAAGGCAGAGTGACAGGGGGTTAAGGACAGAGATGTTTCATTGGCTGGTTCACTCCCCAAATGGTCACAACAGCCAGGGCTGGGCCAGGCTTCAGCCAGGAGCTAGTAAACTCCATTTGGGTCTCCTACATGCGTGCAGAGACCCAAATACTTGGGCCACCTTTTGCTGCTTTCTCAGGTGCATGAGCAGGAAGCTGGACCAGAAATGGAGCAGCCGGGACTCAAACCGGCGCTCAGATGGGATGCTGGTGTCGCAAGTGGTGGCTTAACCTGCTGCGCCACCTCGGCAGCCCCAGCTCCTACAGCCTCTGAGGGAAAGTGCTAGCAGGTTGTTTACCTCAAGGAACGATCACACCCCAGGACGACGTAGGCTTCTGCAAATTCACCCACTATTTGCCCTGCCTCTTCCAAACTCCTCAGGTCTCAAAACCGCCCAGTGGCTTCCTCTCTTCCTTGGAGCACAAAGGCCCAGCCATGCTCCCAACCAGCACCGCCCGGGTGAGCTCCCTGCAACGCCAGAGCGGCTCTGTACCTGTCCTGTCCCATCCGGGCACTTGACCAGGAATCGGAAGCTTCATTCTCATTCTTTTTTTTTTTTTTTAACATTTATTTTACTTGAAAGTCACAGTTACACAGAGAGAGGAGAGACAGAGAGAGAGAGAGGAGAGAGAGAGGGAGAGGAGAGGGAGAGGGAGAGGGAGGGGAGAGGGAGAGGGAGAGGGAGAGGGAGAGGGAGAGGGAGAGGGAGAGGGAGAGGGAGAGGGAGAGGGAGAGGGAGAGGGAGGGGGAGAGAGAGAGAGAGAGAGAGAGAGAGAGAGAGAGAGAGAGAAGAGGCAGAGAGATAGACACACACACACACACACACACACAGATCTTCCATCCACTGGTTCACTCCCCAGATGGCCACAACAGCCGGAGCTGCCGTCTGCAGTACTGGCATCCCCTATGAGTGCTGGTTCAAGTCCCGGCTGCTCCACTTCCAACCCAGCTCCCTGCTAATGCACTTGGGAAAGCAGCAGAGGACGGCCTAAGTGCTCGGGCCCCTGTGTCCACATGGGAGACCTGGATGAAGTTCCTGGCTCCTGGCTTCAGCCTGGTCTAGCTCTGGTTGTTGCAGCCATTTGGGGTGTGAACCGGTGGATGGAAGATCTATTTCTCTCTCTCTCTTTCTCTATGTAACTCTGCTTTTCAAATAAATAAATAAATAAATCATCTTTAAAAAAAATGAAAAAAAATCTAACAAATAAGGGTTCCCTCCCCCGATAGATGAACCACCGTTCATTTATGAAGAAAGCCAATGTTTTTCTTCAGAGACGCATTAGATAATCGAGGAAGCGTGAGTAGAATGTTTCTGTTAGAGACGCCGGCACGGACGTGTGATGCCACAGGCATGGCGGGGAGGAGCTCTTATTTCTAGCAGAGGCGTGTTCAAGTCTTCAGAGGTGAACCGTGCAAGTGTCTTAGCGTCAAGTGATTCGGAAAACAAATGTGTGCATGCAGGTGGTGTGTGCTCACCAGTGTGTGCGTCTATGTGGGTGGGTGTGCCTGAGTGTGTGCATGCATGCGGGGGTGTGCTTACAAGTGTGTGCGTGTGGGTGTGTTCACAAGTGTCTGCATGTATGTGCATGTATGTGTGCCTATGAGCATGTGGGTGTGTGTTCGTGAGTGTGCACCTGCATTGTGGGCGTGTATGCCCAAGTGTTCATGGAGGAAGACACACATTGTCATTCAAGGACCACAGGCGAGTCTAATTCCAACTGTCCAACTGGAGGGTATATGGGTGGTTTTATTTTTTATTATTAATTTCTTAATAGAGTGGTATTATTTATTTGTTTTCATTTTATTTGAAAGGCAGGGAATCACAGCCAGAGAATCGCCCATCTGCTGGTTCATTTCCCATTGTGGAATTGCTGCAACGGCCAGGGCTGGACCAGGCCAGAGCCAGGAGCCTGGAGCTCCATCCAGATCTCCCATGCGTGCGGCAGGGACCCAAGGACTTGAGCCATCACCTGCTGCCTCCCCGGATACCCCCTAGCAGGAAGCTGGATCGGCAGTAGAAGAGCCAGGAAGAGCCAGGACTCGAAGCAGGCACTACCTGGATACAGGTGTTCCAAGCGGCACTGAAGGGCTGCACCAAACACCGGCTCCTGGATAGGCATTTCCTGCAGGAAGCTTCGCTGTTTTCCAAGTTTGAACATTGACCAAATGTGGGGCCAGCATTGTAGCACAGGTTAAGCTGCTGCCTGCCATGCCAGGATCCCATACAGGCACTGGCTCATGTCCCGGCTGCTCCACTTCCTACCCAGCTCCCTGCTAATGCACCTGGGAAAGTAGCAGAAGATAACCCAAGTGCTTGGGACCCCTGTACCCACACGGGAGACCCAGACAGAGTTCCAGGCTCCTGGCTTCGACCTGGCCCAGGCTTGGCTATTGTGGTCATTTGGATAGTGAGCCAGTGGACATAATCTCTCTCTCCTAACTCTGCATTTCAAATAAATAAACAAATCTAAAAAAAGAACACCTCTCAAAATATAGCTATTGAGGAGAAGCCTGCTTTTGAATGCTATTTGGTATTGACGAATGAAGGTGAAATTAAATAGCAGAATAAAAGACCAAAGTGCAGTTTGGGGCGGGGGGCGGTGAGCATTTGGTGAAATGATTAAGCTGCCACTCAGGACACCTGGGTACTATCAGAGTGCTGGGTTCCAGTCCTGAAACTCTGCTTCGGACCCAGCTTCCTGCTAACGTGCACTCTGGGCGACAGCAGATGGTGGCCCAAGTATTTGGTTCCCCGCCATGCACATGTGAGACCCAGACCGAGTTGCAGGCTCCTGGCTTTGGTGTGGCCCAGCACGTGAGGAAACAACCAGTAGATGGAAGATTTTTTCTTTCAAGTAAAATAAAAAAGTGTGGTGAGCATTTAGCCTATTGGTTCAGACACCCGGGTTCCACCCTGGACACCTGGGTCTCAGCCCGGCTCTGGCTCCCAACTCCAGCTTCCTGCAAATGAAGACCCTGGGAGGCAGGAGACCTGGACTGAGCTCCAGGCTCCCAGGCTTGGCTTGGCTCAGTGCCAGCCATCGTGGGCATCTGGAGGTGGTGTTTAATCAGGGGGTGGGAACGCTCTGTCTACCTTTGTCTCTCTGGTCCCCACAGAAGCAAAGAACTCGATTTTATAAGATAAAAGCACAGACATGCACTGCAGGCCAACTCTGCCCATCCAGCAGGTGTGGGCGAGCGGCGGGGCCTCTCGGGAGATCCCTGCACAAGGCCGGCCTGCAGGGGTCACGGGGACGGGGAAGGACAGGAGTTGGGATGTCGGGCGTACCAGTGCTCACAGCCCACCTGCCTCGCCCCATCCGGGGAAGCGCAGTGCCGGCCCCCAGGCTGTTAATTTCAGCAGCGGGGTAGCCCCTCCTAAACCCGGGCTGGGAGTGACCCCCCACTCCTGCTCAGGCGGAGAGCTGGCTTCAGAAGCCTGGAACTCCATCCGAGTCTCCCATGTGGGTGGTAGGAGCCCCAGCACTTGGGCCATCCTCCGCTGCTTTCCCATGCACATGAACAGGGAGCTGAATCGGAAGTGGAGAAGCCAGGACTCATGGGTAATGCCGGCGTCACAGCTGCCTCACTGTGCCTCAACACCGGTCCCCAGAGGTGACTTCCGAGCGTGCTCCCCCCCTCCACCTTCCAACAGGTCACATGCCCTGTCCCCGGTGAGGCACAGGTCATGCTGACCCACGGCTGTCCTGCTTTACATACAGAGGGAGGGGCTACGATGTGGAGGCTGGACTAACACGGGCCCCCTCCCCTCAACTCCAAACCTGAGACTCCTGCCTCCACCTAAAGGCTTCTGTCGCTAGGGTGGGTCCCTAAGAACACCTTGCATTGCACCAGGGCAGTGCTCATTCAGTCAAAGAAAAGCTCCCAAACCCCCAAGCACGCCCCCTCTGCCACACGTGGCCACACAGCGCCTTCTGGAGCCAAGAAACATTTGACAGCTTCCATGTCCAACAGGGACCTCTGCTAGCCCATGCTGTTGTTGCTTATTTATTTATTTATTTATTTATCTTGTTATTAGAGAGAGAGAATCTTGCATCCACTGGTTCACTCCCCAAGTGGCTGCAAAGGCTGGGGTTGGGCCAGGCCAAAGGCAGGAGCCCAGGAGTGTTCTCCACGACTCCCCTGTGGGTACAGGGGTCCACGTACTTCAGCCATTACCTGCTGCTCTCCCAGGCGCATGAGCATGGAGCTGGATTGCAAGTAGAGCAGCTGGGACTCGTATGGCGCACATATGGGATGCAGGCAGCAGCTTAACCCGCTGTGCCACAACGCTGGGCAATGGTACATGGTCTTTATGGTCCACCACCTGCCCTCCTGGGGAAGGCTCACGGTCAAGGACAGCACTCGCTTTCTGGAGTGAGACCGCCTATGAGAACCTCCATGGCAGTTTAGCCAGCCCACTACTGCCAAGCCCCGCCCACTTCTGCCCTCTAAGCCACTGGAGGGAAGGCCCAGCACTCCAAGTAAGGGTGAGGAGCAGCAGGTGTCCAGTGGGGGGGCTCACTCTGCAGCCCCTCTCTGCCCGCAGCTCCAAGGTGAGAGAGCTGCGAGGGAGACCCTCACCCACAGGTCAGGCCATCCAGAGGCACTGGCTTGTGTCCTGGCTGCTCCACTTCTGATCCAGCTCCCTGCCTGAACAAGCGGCAGAAGATGGCCCAAGTGCTTGGGCCTCTGCACCGGTGTGAGACCCACATGGAGCTCCTGGCCCAGCCCCAGGGCTGCTGTGGTCATCTGGGGAGTGAAGCAGTGGATGCAGCATCTCTCTCTCTTCCTAGTCTAACTCTGCCTTTCATAAATAAATCCCCCCCCCCCCAAAAAAGAAGAAAGAAAAAGGTTGGAAGTTCCCACGCTCGGACAATGTCAGCTGGATGAATGAATGTGCGAATACGTGAATGACGGGATGGTGCCTGTGATGGTGGGACAGGGCCTCCCTGTGGGTAACCTGCTCTCTCTCTCTCCTTTTGCTATGGAGTGGGAAGCCCTGTCTGTGCTCTGGCTACAGCCACTTCCTTGGAGGTGGGGAGGGAGGGTGAGACATGTGGGGCACCCGCCCCCGTCTGCAGGCCAGGCAGGGGCTTCTCCCCAGGCAGCAGGGTCTGAGGCGGCCTGCTGTGCAGACCCAAGGTGAGACCCACACGAGGGTCCCTTCCAGTGCCATGTCTCAGCCTGTTTCAGGAAGCAGCCGAGTTCCATATCCAGCTGTCATCTTGAGCAATCCCCGAAGCAAACAAGAGGAAGGAAAAACGCTACAGTTACTGAGTTGTCTCTGGGTGGTCCTGCCTGTGGCTTTTAAAAATGTCCCACTGGGTACATCTCAGGGACAAAGTAACTCAGTGGTTCCAGGCCAGCATCCCCTGTGGCCATCTGGCTTAGCTGTTGAGACATCCCTGTCCCATGTCAAAATACCCGGGTTCAACACCTGGCCTGGCTCCCAGGCAGACTGTGGGAGGCAGCAGGTGATGGCTCAATTATGTGGGTCCCTGCCGTCCACCTAGGAGACCTGGATTGCGTTCCAGGCTCCTGAGTCCAGCCCTGGCCCACCCCCAGCTGTTGCAGGTGTTTGGACAGCGAACCAGCGGACAGGAGCTCTGTCTGTCTCTCTGTGTCTCACTGCCCCTCAGATAAGTGAAGAAAAAAAAAAAAAAGAAGAACCAAAAAACCTTCCAAGAGTCTGGGGTAGGGGCGGGGGCGGGGGTGGGGGAGTGACACAGCAGGTACAGATGTTCTTTCAGGGGGCATGGAATGTTCTGGAACCCCAAGGTAGAGATGACCGCATACCTCAGCGATATCAAAAGCTGGTGAACTGTATACTTAAAAGCGGTGGATTTTATGACCCGCGAAGCTGTAACTCAACTTAAAAAGTGGACAAATGGGGCCGGTGTTGTGGCACAGTGGGTTAAGTCACGGCCTACAATGCCAGCATTCCACACGGGAACGTAGGTTCAAGTCCCAGCTGCTCTGCTCCCGGCTCATGTGCCTGGGAAAGCAGCCGACTATGGCCCAAGTGCTTGGGCTCCTGCACCCACCTGCGAGACCTGGATGGAGTTCTAGGTCCCTGGTTCCAGCCTGGCCCAGCCCTGGCTATTGTGGCCATCTGGGGAGTGAACCAAAGATCTCTCCCTCTTTGTCTGTCTATTTCTCTGTGTGTGTGTCATTCTACCTTTCAAACAAATAAATCTTAAAAGAAAAAGTGGACCAACAGCAAATGTAAATAATAAAAGGTTCATAAATGAGGCTTCTGAACTAGGAATGAGGCCTGAGGGCATTTCAAAGCTCATAGTAAGTAGGTGCTCAATAAAACATGCTCCTCTTCTTTCCTGCTGGCGTGAACTGGTGGTGGGGGAACACTGTGTCCTACTGGCCGCGCCCTGCTGAGGCCGTGTCGGGGCGAGTGGGGCTGGAACCCAGGGCGACGAGGACAGAGACGGTCGGCTGACTGTCCAGCAGAGCAGCCGACAGCCCGGCGCCGGGTGCGAGAAACGCTCACCTAGGAAGCCCTCCTCATCCACGATGATGGTGTAATCTTCCGGCGTCTCCGTCAGGCTGAAGAATTTGCACCTGGGCGGACAGACACACAGACACAGGGCGTCCCGTCAGTCTCGGCAGGCTCCCGTGGCAGCCGTGCCCACCCACGACCCGGAGGGAGCCGACTCAGTCTGCCCGGGGCTCTGACCCCGGGGGGGTGCCGGCAGCCTCGGGGAAGCTGCCGGTCTCTCCTCCATCCCCCTCACCCCCCAGTTCTGACTCAGAGTGTTGTACGCAGGCCTGAAGGTGCCGATCGTCCTGCTGCACCCCCTCACTTTCGGGGGCCCGAGCCCGCTATCCTGCTTCTCTCAGAGGGGGACGGGTGGCTAGGGCAGGGGCTGGGCAGATCAGATGATTCCTCTTGCCGTGACCTCGTAGTCTCTGTCCCTGAAGGCCTGATTCCCTCCCACGCGACCCATCCAGCCCGGCCCTCGCTGACTTCCATGTGGAAGATAGAGGTGTGGCCGCCGGTGACTTTCTAGGGGGCCTGGGTCTCCACACTGCCACTCGCCGTCACCCTTGGCAATGACTTCGCCTTATTTCCCCCACAATGAACCCATTACTGCCCCCAAAGACAGGGGTCAGGACTCTCTGTTGCCTGCTGGTCTCAGTAGCGCGCGTGCTCTTGGGGCCCAGCAAACACACTGGGCGGCGTGGTCCCAGGTCCAGGCAGCTCCTGAGCTGGGGTATAAGAGCTCTGGTTCCCGGCGCTGGGAGCTCATCACCCTGTTCCATGCTTGTATCTGCTCCCTGCCCAGCCAGAGCTGCCCCCTGCAGGGCACCTGGGGTGCCGCAGAAGGAGTCGCAAGCCTGAGTGTGCACCCATGGCGGCTCGCAAGAAAATGGCCTCTGGTCACTTCTGGGGCATCGCCAGGTTCGGGCTCTGTGCCCACTGCACGAAACCCATGCATCTTGGGAGCCATGACAGCAGGGGACCCAGCAAGCCACCCAGGCAAGGGCCAGATCTCACTTCCCCGAAGAGTAAAGGGAAACTGATGGGTGGTGAGGACAGTGCGGAAGGGGTCAGGGTGGCCAGCAGGTCCCTCTCTCAGGCCCGGCCATCCTCGCCTATCAGCCGCCCTGCAACTCTGCAACTCCACGGCACCCTGCAATGAGTGCATCAGTTGATCTATGCAGAGTGCCTGGGTTCAACTCCTGGCTCTACTTCTGACCCAGCTTCCTGCTAATGCGCACCCTAGGAGGCAAGTACTTGGGTCCTGGCTACCTACATGGGAGACCTGGATGGAGTTCTAGGCTCCTGGTTTCACCCTGGCCCAGCCCCAGCTGGTGTGTGCATTTGGGGAGTGAACCAACAGATCTAAGATTTGTCTTTGTCTTTCAAATACATGCATTTGGAAGGCAGAGTGACAGAAAGAGAGAGAAGCAGACACAAAGAGATTTCCATTCACTGGCTCACTCCCTGAACGGCTGCAATGGCTGAAATGGGGCTAGGTTGAAGCCAGGATCCACAAACTCCATCTCGGTTTCCCACGTGTGTGCAGGGGCCCAAGCACTTGGGCCCTCACCTGCTGCTTTCCCAGGCTCATCAGCAGGGAGCCAGATGGGAAGCCGAGCACCCAGGACTTGAACCACCACTCTGACACGGGGATGTCGCCATTACAAGTGGCTAAGGCTTAACCCGCTATGCCACAATGCCAGCCTTTCAAGCAGATTTCTACAGAAGGGTGACTGTGTTAGTGGTTGCCAGGGGATGAGCAGGGGCTGGGCATCGAGGGGTTCTGGACAACTCTGAGGGGGATGGGCCTGCCTGGTCTCTCGGGGACAATGTTGGTTACAAGTCTTGGTCACACACGTTTGCCAAGACTCAAGGAACTGCCGGCTCCAAAGGCTGAGTTTTACTGGACGTGAATGAGACTTTGATAAACCCGACTTCACGGGGAAGCTGTGGCAGCCGGTGCTGAGGCGGCTCCTGGTCCCCTCTGACCTCCTGCTCAGCCAGCAGCACAGACTCTCGCAATCCCATCTCCCTGTCTGCCTATCCCGGATCTGCAGCCTCTGTCTGGACAGATGCAACCTCTCACTGCATGGCCGTCGCCAGCTGGGCCTGGCTCTTTCCTAGGGACCCCCGTGGGCTCAGAGCACCCCCAGCCTTCAGAGCCTCCTCCAGCCGCCCGAGAGTCCTGTGGGTATGCGCAGATGCGAAGCTTGTTCCAAGGACTGTCCTGGCTGGGCGGGCTGCTCTGGGTGGAGAGCCCGGGAACCGCTCTGGCCGTGGGACATAAACACCAGCAGATGGCAAGCGCGCGTTGGCTGGGCGCATGGGGCATAAATAAGTAAGCTGTTGAAGTGACCAGTCCCCTGGGGCAGGTGGCCCTGGGGCCCCGCCAGCTGCCGGATGCCTGTCCTGAAATGTGCACCTTGGCGTGGGCAGGCCCCGGAGAGGCAGACCTGCCAGAGGTGACCTGCCACTACTCTTCTGGTCACCGTCTCGGTCTCCCGCTCCTGCTGCCCGCTCGGTGTCACACCGAGATGTTTTCTCTCTCTCCAACCCTGCCCACAGTGGGAACCCTGGCCGGGAAGACTACATCAGCTTCATACCATCTTCTTCTTCTTCTTTTTTTTTCTGTAATCTTTATTTATTTATTTAAAAGGCAGAGTGACAGAGAGAGAGAGATCTCTTTCATCCACTCATTCACTCCATAAATGGCCCCAACAGTCAGGGCCAGGCCAGGCTGAAGCCACGAGCCAGGAACTCCATCCGGATCTCCGACATGGGTGGCAGGGGCCCAGGTCAACAGCAGGAGGAGGCCCTGAGGCACCTGTTGTGGCTGTGTGTTGTGCCAGGGGGGACGCAGCAGCCAGGAGCAGCCAGCAGCAGGGTGGTTGGGGTCTCGAAGCACATCAAGCCCTCGTCCCTCTGTCACTGTGATGGGAGCTCCACTAGCTGCCTCCAAGGGTGCGCATTAGCAGGAGGGAGCCGGAGCTAGAACCAGGCACTCTAATAAGGGATGCAGCCTCCCCAGTCCACTGCAGCACAGAGCCCACTCCATGCTTCGTGCCTTCCCTTGCTCTTTTCTTTTTTTAAAGATTTATTTGGAGCCAGCGCTGTGGTGCAGTTGGTAAAGCAGCCATCTGCAGCACCAACATCCCAAATGGGCACTGATTCAAGTCCTGGCTGCTCCACTTCTGATCCAGCTCCCTGCTAATGTGCCTGGGAAGGCAGCAGAAGATGGTCCAAGTGCTTGGGTCCCTGCACCTATGTGGAAGTTGAGAAATTTATTTATTTGAAAGTCAGAGTTACAGACAGAAGGGGAGATAGAGAGAGAGGTCTTTCATCTGCTGGTTTACACCCCAAATGGCTGCAACAGCAAAAGCTGGGCCGGTCTGAAGCTAGGAGCTTCTTCCGGGTCTCCCACATGGGTGCAGGGGCCCAAGTGCTTGGGCCATCTTCCACTGCTTTCCTAGGTGCATCAGCCGGGAGCAGAATAGGAAGTGGGGCAGCCAGGTATGAACTGGAGCCCACATGGGATGCTGGCGTCACAGGTGGCAGCTAATACCTGGTACGCCACAATGCAGGCCCCCAAAGCTGCTTCTTGCAAAATCTCCATCAGGCCTCTTCCCCTAAAGGGAGAGCAGATGGAGCCCGCTTGCTCCTCTGAACCAGCCGCCACCTCTTCACCAGTCTCTCCTGGGTCCTCCACAGGTCTCTCCCGCTATTGATATTTCATTCTTCCCATGAGAAGCCGGCAGCCATGTCAAGCTGTTGTTAGCAGAAAGCCCTGTAAGGGTTTTATGCTTAGAAGGAAGACCTCTTTTGCGCTAAGGTGGGAAATAAGACTTGTTGCTGTCACAGGCTACCAGGAAAATCCAATCTGACCGTGAGGGTGGTGGCATTGGGGCAGATTTCGGGGTGAGACATGGAGGCGGGACGGCCAGAGGAGGAGGCTGAAGGTGGGGACAAAGCCGGGGGAGCTCAGGCTCTCTCCAGGGGATCTCGCTGCCTTCTGTTGTGGGCTCCTAGCTATTCTGGCACGAAACGATCGCCGATACCAGGTCTGCCCCAACCCACCTCCGCAGGCAGCACAGACTCCTCCCGTCCCAGTGAGCAAGCCGCACAGTAGGCCCTCTCCCAGGATGCCGAGACCCGCCCCAGCACTGCCATTGTCCACTCCCAGGTCTGTGTGGGTCAGGGGGCCACCTGCTCCTCTGGCAGACAGCTCCGTCTCTCCCGCTGGGGTGCCCAGTCCCTAGCACAGGTGCGTAATCAGTGCGCACCGAGTGACAGTGTCGACGTGGTCCCTCGGTACCTACTGGGGATGGGTGCCCACACCCCTGCAGACACTAACATCCACAGATACTCACATCCCTTCTGGAAGATGGCACGGAATGGCCTCAAAGCTACCCACACCCTCCTGTAAGACCTTTAAAATCAGCTCCCCATGCCTCAGAAAACCCAACCCCAGGCCGACACATCCCTGCATTTGTGTGCATTTCAGCACAGGGCTCAGCAGCTGCCCACGTCCAGTTTGGCTTTATGGAACTTTCTAGAACTCCTTTTCCCCTGCAGCTTTTCCGCTCTGCAGTTGATTGAATCTGGGACGGCAGAACCCGTACATCTGGATGAACAAATCGTGCTGTCATTCAGCAAAACCGAGGCTCAGCAGGTAAAGGCAGCACCCGGCCCGGGCTCCCGCACAGGCAGCGGCAGCCTGCAGTGTATTCTGCGCGGCTCACGTCTTCCACTCGGAGATGTCCGCCCTCTTACAGGTACGTAACAGGAGCACTCACACTGGCCGGTTCTCCGTCACCCAGCCGGCTTCAGCCCAGACACCTGTCAGCAGGAGCCAAGGGTGCGAGGCAGATGGGCAGTTCCCAGAAGGCGACACCTACATGACTGTGAATCCCCACATACTGGTGATGTCTGCTGTACCGAGCTGCACACAGCTACCAGCAGTGAGCACTGTGGAGCGGCAGGCCTAGACACCCCACATCTGTGCAGGAGTCCTGATTGCTCCACTTCCCATCCAAGCTCCCCACCAATGCACCTGGGAGGCAGCGGATGATGGCCCAAGTGCTTGGGTTCCTGCTACCCACGGTGGGAAGACCA